ATTGAACAAATTATACTTATATATATTTATATATAATTAATAATTATATAATAATTATATATATAAATAATATTATAATATTATATTTCAATATATTATTTAATGAGATAATCGCAAATTAAACATTTACGTTTTATTGGAAAAAATAAATATGTTAATATGATACGCAATGTTTTAAATTTATTAAAAATAACCTTATTAATAATATAATTAAGAAAATAAAATAAATATTAAGTATAACCATATAAAATAGATACGTTAACTATATTAATATAGTACACAGGTCAATGGTTGCAGCAACAATTAAAAATGGTTGTGACATCCATAGTGAGATTTGTGCTACTTCCATATTATATGGTTCACACAGCTATATAGCTTTGTTATTGCATCAATATACAGCTAACTATTTTATATGGATGTAGAATCCATAGATATGGATGGGACGTATTTTTCAATATAATATGGTTGGGGCAACCAGACGTGTGGATGTGACATCCATTGCTTTTTTTCAGTGTACATTGTAACAGGAGGTATTGTTGTGTCCTTATACATATAATTAATAAATATTTTATATTGGGGCTAATAGGTCTAGTTTTAATAACTTTGGTTCAAACATTTTTCTAAATGTCAGAAATTGTAGGAGGATTGTTTTCCTTTAAATTGTAAGTAGTGCGAATTTTTTTATGAACATTAAATAGCCAGCGTACTGACCCGCTCGCATCAGAAAACCGAACAATTCAACAGATTCCTTTGTAAAATTTATTGTTTTAATGTTAGTTAAACAAATAATTTTTTATAACACCTTGCGTCAAAAACTCGACTAAAGTACAATTTTTTAAGCACTAGTGCGTAAAAAGTACTTTTTACGCACGCTAGTGTTTAAAAAACTTCACTTTAATCGAGTTTTTGACGCAAAATGTTATAAAAAATTATGTATGGGGCACGGGCGCAAATAGGGGAATCGAGACTCACGCGAGTCTCGATTCCCCTACTTTTTGCGCCCTTGCCACATAAATAACTATTGTGTAAATTTGATTTATTGGTTTTGATTAATAATATTGATTTATTAATTTCATATTGCTAATACTGCTAGCTATACTATTTTCTCTTCATTGAAAATTATTTTTTATTGAATTGTAGTCGCTTGGCAGTTTATTGGTTAATGTAATTGTTATTTAATAATTTTTTTGTGGTCAAGAATGTGCAAAATGTATATGTTACACGAAATGTGATGATGATTAATAGTAATTAACTGTGTTAACGACGGTTGGTAGGGTCTGAAGCCTTTAGGTCGACTGCGCAATTGTACGCATATGGGTTCTTCCGATGGCTGACGGCTGGCGGGTCGCTAGCTGCACCGAGCCCAAGAAGACTAGAACCAGGAGGTGAAACTTCCACGCTTTACCGCAGTGAGTAGTGGCATGGTAAGCGTGCACACGGTGGGTGTGTCGTTTAAGTTCGTGCACTGCTAATAGAACGAATTTACGAATTCTGCGCATACTATCCATGTAGGTTTTGAAGGGGAAATTTCGTAGCAAGCAGCTGCAAATGTTTGCGTCTGCTTGGTTAGGTAAATTATATAATAATAAAATGCTTGGTCTGTCCTTCTGTCCTAACTTGAAGTTGGCCTTTTCTGATTTCACGTGTTTTTTTGAATAGTAATCTTATGACGTGTCAAATTTTGACAATTCTTTTTCTCATTTTTGCCAAAGTTGTATAATTGTGTTTCCAAATTTCGGAATAAGTTTCTTTAAAATTCCAAATTCGAAAATTCAATTCACGAAGCTGAAGTACACAACGTTTACCAACGAAATTCTTTTTAAAGTTGTATATTGATTCAAAAATTGTACAAAAAATGTATGATGAGAAAAAAGATGCGCCAGGAAATTTCGTATAAGATAGTAATTTGAAAAACATTTATTTTTAAAAATTAATTTTTAAGGTACCAGGTGCCAACGAATACCTATTAAATATTAATTATAAAAACACAGGCCTCGAATCAACTTAAAGACACAAAAAAGTCGTTTCAGTCGATTTATATTCCAAAAAAAAGTGGATTTGTTTTTTATTTTAACAAAAATATTTTACAGATTTTTAAATAAAATTTTTTTTTTTTTTAATAATAATCCTTTTCGAAGGGTTAAAATTGAAATTTTTAGAAATAATTAAATTTCAAAGATATTGTTAATTTTCAAACAATTATTAAATTTTCCAGAACTGAAAATAATTTATCAAACAATTTTTGGAAAACATTTTTTAAATTTAATTGAATTTTCAAAGATTTAAAATTGAGATTTTTGAAATTAATTGAAACTTTAAGTGTTTTGTAATTAAAATTTTAGATGATTTCACTAAAAATTTATTAGAAAATGCGGACAAAATACAATAATTTGAAAAATGGTTTCAGATAGTTGAATTTTCAAAGAATATTATTAAAATAGTTAAAAATAATTGAATTTCCTTAGAGTTATAATTGAAATTATTAAATTTCAAAAAAAAAAAAATTTCGATGTAAAATTTTAGAAATAATTAAATTTTAGATGCTTTTAAATTCAAATTATTGAAAATTCAATTAATTTTGAATTCCAATTTTTGAGAATAATGAAATTATATTTGATTTTAAATTGAAAATTTTTGGGAAATAATTGAATTTTAATTGAAATTTTGGATAATAATTTAATTGAAGTTCATTTTTGATTGAAAATTTGGATAATTAATTTTGAATAGAAATTTTAGAAAATAATTGAACTTTATTTCATTTTAAATTGAAAACTTGGTAAATAATTAAATTTTAATTGAAATTTTGGATAATAATTTAATTTAAGTTCATTTTTGATTGAAAATTTGGTTAATTAATTTTGAATAGAAATTTTAGAAAATAATTGAATTTTATTTCATTTTAAATTGAAAACTTGGTAAATAATTAAATATTTAATTGAAAATTTTGGGTAATAATTGAATTTTAGTTTATTTTGAATTGAAATTTTTAAAAAATAATTAAATTTTATTGTGATATTTTTTTTTAAAAATTATAAACAATTGTTAAATTTCATAAAAATTTTAATTGAAAAATAATTTTGATATAATTGAATTTGTGATGTATTTCATTAAAATTATTAAAATTAATTAATGTAGTGAAGAATCATTTTAGTTTAAAATTTGTTAAATAATTTAATTGAAGAAGATATGATGAAGATCTACATTTTATACTAGAAAAATGTATTTTATTTACATTTTTTCAAATGTTAAAAAAAATGTCGCATTTTATTAAAAGAAGTCGATAAAAGTCTTATTTTTGAAAAAAGTCAGAAAAAGTCGTATAATCCGAGGCTTGTAAACATATAATTTTCATTATTATCATTTAATATGTAATAATATTCTAATAAATTAAATTATTATTGATAATATTAATCTTTAATTTCTTTATAACAAACAATTAAACACTCAATTTGGCGCGCTTGCGCGCGTTTAATTTTGCTAGTTACATATAATTAATTAAATATAATCGCATCAAAAAATTTATGGGTAAACCATTTGCCATAACCGCATAAACAGAAACTTAAAAACAGCGTCTGCTACATTTCAAATATCAGTGTCAAGAAAGTATGCGCAGAACACTGAAATTCGTCTGAATAGCAATGCACGAACGATAAGCCACGCCTTCTAGTGGCTTGTTTGTCACGCCGCATCTTTACAACGGAGTTTCCCCTCCTGGTTCTAGTCTTCTTGACCGAGCCACAAAGCACTTAAAACTCTAGCGGAAAGTAGCATTTTTCGTCGAAATTGATTGCAGCTCTTGCTTCATTTGAACGTTAACTTACAAACTCGTCAGAAAAAGGCTTCTTTTAACTTTCTTTGCACAATGAATCAATAATTAAATTTAAAAATTGATTTTTAACATTTACTTTAGTATTTTGACAAAAAAAAGGAAGGGGGTAAAATGGGATAAAGCAAAAAAATAAAAACTAAGCGTTGTACGATGAGGTACCTCCGCAACAAACAACGAGACGCATGAATTTTCTCCAAATTTCAAATGGCCTAACACTTAATTGACCAAAATTAAATTGGCCTAAAAGTCGCATGGACTAATTATTACTTGGCCTAATCTTCATTCAATCTAATTTCTCATTTGTATTAATTCTCAGTTGGCCTAATCTTAATGTAACCTAATTCTCACTTGGTCTAAGTTTTATTTGTCACCCGTTCATGAACGCGAAGCATGAGAGAGAAAGTGACAGAACATATTTTTGTTTTTTTCTCTCTTATGAGTCACGTTCACAAGCGGGTGACAAATAAAAATTTAGGCCAGGTCATAATAAGGTCAAGTTAAGGATTAGTCCAAATAATAATTAGGCCAGATGAAAATTATTTCAAATGAGAATTATGGCAAATGATGTTTAGGCCAAGTAACAATTAGTCCATACGACTTTTAGGCCAATTGAATTTAGGACAATTAAGTTTCAGGTCATTTAAAATTTGGAGAATATTCATGCACCTCCAACGAACACTAATACAATTATAATATAAAATATAGATTTATCGATAGTCGACACTCTTTACAATGGTTTATCCAGGAATGGATTTTTCATCGAACGTGTGCTGCCGCCCTAACAAGAATAACCGTATCTGCATTTCAGATGAGTTTCCTACTTGCCACTGCCACCAATAAGTGACTTATCCAAAATGTAGTTACTGCTACTCTTGTTGGGACGGCAGTGTGTCCTGCCTCCGTTGATATGACAACATTGAGATAACAACCCTTAATAAAATTCGCCCTAGTCTTTTAATTTTAGTCGACTATAGGAAAAGTTTTGTTTAATATTTTAAAATAATATTTTATCCAATGCAGTACATAAAAGTTTACCAATTCCTTACTTTTTTTGCAATCTTAGAGAAAAATGACACTAAAAAATGGTTTATAAAAATGTTTCCCGTTTTTATAAAAGATTAAAATAATTATTAGTAAAATTAATTATTATTATAAAAATAATTCTAAATACCTTTGTGAATTGTTAGATTTTTGCAATTTCTTATTAATTCCGAAGCAAGTTCAGGTTTTAAACGATGATAAGGTGTACATTCTGCTAATGTTGATGCACATTTGAGTACATGTATTAAAACAGCAACATTGTGTTCAGTATTTAATGATAATGACACCGTATAATGTATTTCTTTTATCACTGAACTTAAAAGTGCAAAAACTGTTATAAATGAAGAATGTTCATTATCTTCAGCATGTTGTAAAATATGTCTAGAACCTCTGAGAAGTTCACACATTATCATCCACGATATTTGTCTCACTTTATATGATGAATCCTTTAAAATAAGTCTCGTTAATACACGAGCATTAATTTGTGAACCACTGGCAACAATTTGTGTCCAATAACCAAATAATTCACGACTTGAAAAATTCATAACAATATTGTACAATAATTGTACAGTTTCAAGTCGAATTTTCGAATCCATTTGTATTAAATCAAATGATAATTCAGTATCTGATGTATCAGAATCACTAGAGAATTTTGGAATAAATTTTGGATTTGATGATGATTCATTTTTTGTATTAGTTACTGCTTTTGGGGGTAATTGTTTTTTTGATCTTGTTTTTTTTGTACACTTTGTTTTTGAAATTGTACATGTATTTACTGGTATATTCATAATTGCTGGACGAAGTTGTTGTGGAATTAGAAATGGATAATCTTTAATACCACAAAATAGAAAAGCCTGTATTACGCCTAGTAATTCACCGATATTATCCACAGAACTAATAATTACTTTTTCACTACTAATGATCCGTAAAATACGTACACATGTGCAAATTTTCTGAAATAAATTTTTTTTTAGTCTTTCTTCAGACAAAAATCGATATAAAAATATTTTTACTTACTCTTTTGAAATATTTTTCATTTTCAAGAGATGAAAATAAAATTTTCAGTACAATTTCTTTGATTAGTAGTAAATAATCTATTGACATGGTGATTTGATTTTTTTCCTTGTTTATTAATATTGCTTCCAAGCAACATAATGAATGAAAATTTAGTTCGTCACTATGGGAACCCGAACTATAAAGGAAACGACATAATAGGGAATTTTCTCCCAATAATTTTCTTATGTCCTGTAATACAAAAATTTTGCTTTCTATTTAACAGATTTATCGAAATTTTTAAATAAAATTTGTTTTGTCAAAATTATTTTTAAGATTAAATTGCAACTGTATCGACAATTTTCGATAAATATATAGGATACTAACTTGAGAATAATTACTATAGGCACAAGTTGAAAAAAATGTTTGTAGCGCAATAAGAACGTCAATTTGTGATTCCGATTCTGAATATTCTAGAGTTTCCAAAAGCCATCGTTTACAAATCATCAACGTTTGATCTTGAAATGTAGCACCATTTTTCAAAAGTGATGTTAAATACTCAGAAGTAGCTTTAACTAAACATTCTTCAGTCGGTTGTACAGAGGCACATAATTGATTAACCAGAAGCATTATTGACTGTAATAAAAAAAAGGCGCTATAAAAGTATATTACAGATTTTGGTCTGATTTTTGACGGTAGATTGGGTCCAATCACAAATTAATTTTTATTCTCTCTCAAAGAAAAAAGAATCCTTAATGCCGCTTTATTTTTATTTAATATTTTATCCCTAAAAACACCCAAGAAATAAGTTTCAATTAACCTTCGCGCTACTGAGAAGTTTTGTATACGAGGACTACCAAAAGCTATACGCGGGGTAACCCAAACGTTTCTTTTTTTAATTTTTATGTTCCAAAAATGACATTGCATTCATCAAGATTTTTTAATTTATTTTTTTTTACAAATTATTTATTTTTAATACAAATAATGTATTTTAATAATGTTGCTATGAATTTTGCATTTTAAACAATTTAATATTGCAAATTTATATCATTTTTGAATAAACCAAATTATCAAATTTTTAACAAATTTTTACCTTTTTATAGATTTAATTATTATTAAGGCAAGGGACCGGTGAAATTTCAACTCATCGAAATTAATGTTGTTAAGGGGTGTCAATTTTTTTTTCTGGCATTATTTCGGATCTAAAATTATTGTGAATTATCAAAATTAAAAAAAAAAATTTCAGGCCTCGAATCGACTTAAAGGCACAAAAAAAGTCGTTTTAGTCGATTTATATTTAAAAAAAAGTCGAAAAAGTCGATTTTTTTTATTTTAACTAAAATATTTTACAGATTTTTAAATAAATCTTTTTTTTAAATAATAATACTTTTGGAAGGGTTAAAGTTGAAAATTTTTAGAAATAATTGAATTTCAAAAGATTTTGTTAATTTTCAGACAATAATTAAATTTTACAGAAATAAAAATAATTTATTAAATAATTTTAGATAACATTTTTTAAATATAATTAAATATTCAAAGATTTACAATTGAGATTTTTGAAATTAATTGAACTTCAAGTGATTTTTAATTAAAAATTTTGGATGATTTCAATAAAAAATTTATTAGAAATTGCGGACAAAAATACAATAATCTGAAAACCATTTTTAATTGAAAAATGGTTTCAGATAATTGAATTTCCTTAGAGTTATAATTGAAATTATAAAATTTCAAAAAATTATAAAAAAATTAAATTTTAGAAGCTTTTAAATTCAAATTTTTGAAAATAATTGAAATTGTGGATAATAATTTAATTTTAGTTGGTTTTTGATTGAAAATTTTGATAATAATTAATTTTGAATTGAAATTTTTAAAAATAATTGATTTTAGTTGATTTTGAATTTAAAATTTTGAGAAATAATTGAATTTTAATTTAAATTTTTGATAATAATTTAATTTTAATTGAGTTTTTATTGAAAATTTTGATAATTAATTTTAAATTAAAATTTTTAAAAATAATTGAATTTTAGTTGATTTTGAATTGAAAATTTTGAAAATAATAGAATTTTAATTGAAATTTTGGATAATAATTCAATTTTAGTTGGTTTTTGATTAAAAATTTTGATAATAATTAATTTTGAATTGAAATTTTTAAAAATAATTGAATTTTTTTGATTTTAAATTGGAATTTTGGAAAATAATTGAATTCTAGTTGATTTTGAATTTAAAATTTTGAAAATAATTAATGTTTCCAATTATTTTGAGAAATAATTGAATTTTAATTGAAATTTTGGATAATAATTTAATTTTAATTGATTTTTTATTGAAAATTTTGATAATTAATTTTAAATTAAAATTTTTAAAAATAATTGAATTTTATTTGATTTTAAATTGAAATTTTGGAAAATAATTGAATTTTATTTGATATTGAATTGATTTATGATTTTGAATTAAAAATTTTTGGTTATTTTATCTGATATGTTTTTAAAATTATAAACAATTGTTAAATTTCATAAAAATTTTAATTGAAAAATAATTTGAAATAATTGAATTTGTGATGTATTTCATTAAAATTATTAAAAATAATTAATTTAGTGAAAAATTTTAGTTAAAAATTTGTTAAATAATTGAAATAAAGAAAATCTGAAGATCTGCATTTTATACTAAAAAAAATTTATTTTATTTACAAATTTTTTTTTTTAAATGTAAAAAAAGTCGAAATAGTCGCATTTTATTAAAATAAGTCGAAAAAAGTCGTATTTTTGAAAAAAAGTCGGAAATAGTCGAAAAAGTCGTATAATCCGAGGCCTGAATTTTTTGACCATTTTAGAAATTTTATTTTTTGAAAATATTAACATTTTTAAAAATCCATACAATTGTTCAGAATCAAGAAAAATTGCCGATAAAAAATAATAAATTTGTGGAAAAAGTTCAATTTTTAAAAAGTAATTGATAAAATTTAAATAAAAAATAATTGGTCTTGTAATTTTTAACAATTTTGCCATTTTATTTATTTTTCAGAAATTTTATTTTTTGAAAAAATTGAATTGAATGCCCTATATCTGGAAATTACTAAAAGATTATTTTGCAAAAAGTTTAAGAGTGGAAATGACGATTCTTTTTTATTTAACTAATTTGTTTAAAATTAATTTTTTTTTTTTTTTCAAAATAAAGTTTTTGAACACTAGGATCGTTGACTTTACTCATAGAAAAGCAAACTAAAATGTATTTATTTAAAAAAGCGCGAAAAAAGAAAAAAAAATTTTGTAAACAAATTATTTTAAAAAAAAAATAAACGAATAACAAACAAATTTATAAAACATTTTGCAAAATGTTCTTAGTATTAATCCAGGTATGAAAAAATAAAAAAAAAAAAAATCGTGCTTAAAGTTGAAAAAAAATATTATTTTTTATATATAAAATTTAAAAAGAAAATTTCGTTAACATATTTCAATACACGATGCGAAACTAAAACTTTCCTCTCTTGGCACAATTCCTAAATTCAGTAGGAACAAAAAATGTTTAATTTTTTTAACTAACTTATTTTTTTTAAATAATTGAATTTAAAAAAAAATTGTTTAATTTTGGAAAAGATACAAATGAAATTTTTAAAAGTAATTGAATTTCTATTAAGTTAAAATTTTTCGAAATAATTTAATTTCTATTAAGTTTAGCTTTTTGGAAATAATTGAATTTCATGTGATTTAAAACTGAAATTCTTTGTAGTTTTATTTGGAGAAATTGTTTTTTTCTTCTTTTTTTTTAGAAATTTCTAACAATTATTGAATTTTTCAAAATATTTAATTGAAAAATATTTTCAGATAATTGAATTTTTGAAGAATTTTATGAAAATAATTGAAAATAATTAATTTAGTCTGAAGAATTTTTGTTAAAAATTTGTTGAGTAATTAATTTTTAAAAAAAGCTGTATTCTAAAAAAGTCGTATTTTCTTTAAAAATTTTGTCAAAAATTTTACAAAAAAAAAAATCGAATCTTACTAATAAAATAGGATGAAAAAATTCGCATTTTTGAAAAAAGTTGGAAAATGTCGGAAAAGTCGTACAATCCAAAGCGGCGTGGCCGTAAATTATATATTAATTTTCCTCACGTTTGTTTCTCGTAATCAACAACTGTTTCTTCTTATGTCGACTATTAAACATGATTATTCTTCTTTCGTCGATAATTTTTATTATCAATTAATGTAAATTAAACTTTCACTTCACATTTTAAAATTGAATTAATAAAAATCGATATAATAATGATTTTAATGGCGATTAATCCAAGAGTGATTTCGCTTTCCACGCGGTCGATTTCATTCAGCTAAACGCTAATTGACATGCGTTGTTTCTATGGCAACACACAGGGACGATTTAATCAGAAAGAAAACCCAAATCGGGGGCGCATGATTTTCCAATAAAAATCATTAGTTACCATTTTCATTTTAAAGAATTCTATTACATATTACATATCCGCTTTTTTAATTATATTCTTTAAAATCTCTCGTATGGATTTTTCAAAAAAAATTATTTTTTATAAAATTCTCAATTAAATTTAATGAATTATAAAAGGAAATCTAAAAATTTGAAGTTCGAAAAATGTGTTTTTCAATTTTTTCACTAGAACAGGGATCACAATACCTTATTTCTTGAAAATAAATAAAAAAGTAAATTATAATTCATCTTTTTACTTGTTTTAAATCATTATTTGCCAAAAATAGGTGACGAAAGGTTAAAGGGTAATTAACGATGTAAAATAACTAATTTTTATCCATTCAACTTTAAATTAATTGACATTTTTAATCAATGACTAAATCATTAATAGTTGAAATTTTAAGTAAATTAATTTTTGAATAAATTTAATATTAAATTAGGTAATAAAAATTTGGTTTCATTGAAATTCGTATAATTTAAAAATTGAAATGAATTAAAATTCGCATTATTTAAAACTCAAAATGAATTAAAACTTGAATAAAATTTAATTCGTATAATTTTAAACTTAAATCAATTAAAATTTTTGAAAAATTAAATTTCAAATCATTTAAAACTTAAATTAATTAAAAGTGGAAATTAAATTTTAAATTTAAATACAATGCTGAATTACGCAACGTTTATGGTCAACGATTAGAAATCAATTTTTATTTAACACAGAAAATTATAAAATTGTTTACCTAAAAAAAATATTTTTTATACTTTGTTGATTCATAAAAACTACAAGAAATATATTTTAGGCAAAAAATTATAGAATTTTTCATTTTAAAAAATTATTTTAAAAATCGTTTATCATAAAAGTTGCCTACTTCAGCTACGTATTTAGATTTAATTTCATTTTGGATTGTTTAAAATTTGAACAGATTTTCAAATTTGGATATATTTAAATTCTGACAATTTTAACCTTTTAAACAATTAAAATTCAAATAATTTGAAACTTAAATCAATTATTTTTTGGATAAATTAAAATTCTGATGATTTGAAACTTAAATTGTTTGAAATTTCAATAATTTTAAGTTTCGATTGATTGAATTTGCATTTGTTTATAATTTTAATTAATAAATTTGTTTTCATCAATAAAACTTAAGACAATTGAATAATTAAAATTTAGAATGAATTTAAATTTGAATCGTTCAAAATTTGAAAAAAAAATTTAAATATGTATAAATTAAAATTCAGATAATTGGAAACTTAAATCAATTAAAATTCGAATAGATTGAAAATTTAAATCCATTAATCTTTAGCAAAATTGGAATTTCATTAATTTTAAGTTTCAATTTATTGATTAAGGATTTACTAAAAAATTTAATTAATTTTGTTTTGATCATTAAAAATTAGTTTCATCATTTGAAATTTTGTATAAATTAAAATTTGAACAGATTCAAATTTTGATAAATAAATTTTGGTCTGAATTGATGAAACAAAATTTTTTTTACACTTGTATAACCAAAAAAGATATTAAAATAATAAAAAAAATTCTAATTATATAAAATTCTATTGTATATTTTTTATTTCCATGCGTATAATATTGATGTTAATTTTATTAAATTTGACACGTGCATATTTTTATAGGTTAGAAAACATCGATATCAAATAATTAAATAACTTGAAGAATTATTATAATTAAGTTAATATAAATATTAAAAATATAAACTTACACTATTGTCAGTTGCAAGTAATAATTTATGATTAGATTTATTTAATTCACATAGATAATCCTTTATTACTTTTTTATTAATCTGCTTTTCATTTATTAGATACTTTATAAGAAATTTAATTTTAGCAGAATCATCTGTAGTTATCAGTTGATTAGAGTGCATTATTTTAAATAATTTTATTATATTTTTATATTTAATACACAGGAATTTGATTCTTTTTAAATCATTCCTTTTTTAAAGTACTGGGGCATTTAAACAAACACAGAAAATGTATTCTTTTCCAAACCGGTAATATGACGTAATTTGAAGTTCCAATCAGGGTTGTGTAATTAACTTTGAAATTTTCAACAACTGTAAAATACGTAAATAGTATTATACGTAAAATGACGTGAAATCATTTATTATTTCAATAATTGCAATTTATATGAATTTATTTTGCGAATAAAATCTATTATATTGATAATTATTGCATAAATCAATTAAATATTTTTTCTTGGACAATTGTCAAAGGATTGGGCGCGCATCCAATTCAAAACATACTGTTGTGAAATCAGCCTAAGACTGCGTTCAAACGGCTTGCCGTTTACGGAATTGCGCTTCGGGAGCACTTGAAATGCAATTCCGTAACGGCAACCGTAACATGTATTTACAAGTAAGTTACCTACCCATCCCTATCAACCTGTAAATTGTCACATTTTAGAACTTTCTCTTAATTTATAGATGTGTGGTGCATTTCGGATGTTGCACTTTAGCACACATGCACCTTATCTTTCACAACTTTGTCCCCAATGATTGTTTTGACATATGTTTTCATTGTGATTAAAAAAAAAATTTAGTTTCTGCTTTATTTTCTCAGAAATAATTAGATAATTTATTTATTAAATAAAACATACCGCTCTTGAATAATAATGCACTATGCATTTATAAATTATATTATGTAAATATATATTATCTTGTAAAATTGAAATTTATTTCGAGTATCTTTAAAATTCAATTAAAAATTTAACAATGGTAATATACGGTGTTTACATTGTTTCAAAATCGGGAGGTTTAATTTTTAATCATGATCATAATGTACCAAAAGTAGAAACTGAAAAAGTATTTAATTATCCACTCGATATTAAATTGTCATATGAAAATAAAAAGACTGTTGTTGTTTTTGGACAAAGAGGTGGAATTAATGGTAAGTGTGAAATTAATATTTTTTCTTAATATCCAGTTTTATTAAATTAAAAAAAAAAATAGGATTTATATAAATTTTTTTAACACCTTTTATGTTAATTATTTTACAAATTTTTTTTTTTTAAATTAAAAATACGACATTTTTGTGCAATTTTTTTTGGTTTTATTATTATTTACTTTTTTAAGTATTTAGTTTAGAAAAAAAAATTTTGGGTTATTTATAAATTTAATTTATACGTATTTTTTATTTTATTATGGAACGAACAAATTTTTTTTTTGGTATTAATTTTTTAAACTTTGGTTTCTGGTGAAATCACCCCTTCAAAGTATAATAATATTAATAATAAATGGTATTATTATTATTATTATTATTATTATAACTACAATTATTATTAGGTATTATTATCATTATTATTATTATTATTAAAATTACATTGTTATACATTTTAAGTATATAATTTTTTTTATTATCTGTTTTTTTACCAATAGGGTAAGTGCATCAATTACGGCGCGTTCATAAAAAATAACTATTATTACTATTATATTTAATATAACTGTTGCAAAATGATTTAAAAAAATTATTTTAATCTTTTTTTGATACAATATTAATAATAAAAATGAACATTTAAACGATTATTAATTTAATTATTTAAGATCAAATTTTTCATTATAAAATAAATCTGTGTAGAATTTAACGATGTGGAATTTAATTGTGCAGAATTTAAAAAATAAATTGTTTAGTATTTAACAGTGAGCAATTTAACTGTGTAGAATTTAATCATTTTTATTTTCTATTATAAAATCATTATGTGAAGAGTTTGGCGGTGTGCAATTTAAAGGTGTAGAATTTATTAAAATTAATTTTATGTTATAATATTAGTTTTTGTAGAGTTTAACAATATGCAACTTAACTGTGTAGAGTTAAACAAATTTTATTTTATAATACAAAATAAATTTATGGAGAGTTTAACGGTGAACAATTTAACTGTGTAGAATTTTATGCAATTAATTTTTCATTACAAAATAAATATGTGTAGAATTTAACGATGTGGAATTTAACTGTGTTAAATTTAAGAAAATTAATTTTTTATTACAAAAGAAATATATGTAGAGTTTAACGTTGTGGTATTTAACCGTGTTGAATTTAAAGAAATTAATTTTTCACTACAAAATAAATTTGTGTAGAGTTTAACATTGTACACATTAAGTGTGTAGAATTTAAAAAATAAATTGTATAAGGTTTAACGGTGTGCAATTTAACTGTGTAGAGTTTGACGTGTAGGGTTTTAACGATGTAGAATTTAATTGTGTAGTATTTGAACCGCCCCCCGTAATTGAAACATTTTTAAGATTTCTATTGTCTAAAATTTGTAAAAAAAAATTGTTTCATTTGAATTATAATTTATGAAAATTTCAATTTAAAATCTCCTGAAAATTTATTTTTTAAAAAATTTAACTTAAACTCTTCTAAAATTAAAAATTTTTCTAAAATTTTCTTCACTTTTATTATTTCTAATATCTTTTATCAAAATTTTCTGAAAATTTTATTATTTAAAACACTTTTTGAGTACAAATTATTCTAAAATTTAGTTATTCTCTGAATCTTATAGAAAAAATATTCAGTAATTTAAATTTACAAAAATTTTGATTAAAAATCTGAAATTCAATTATTTTTAACAATTGTAACAGCAACTATTTTAAACTTCAATAATTTTTCAAAATTTTTAACTTAAATTCTTTGTTGAATTAATTACTTCTGATAACTTTAATCAAAGTCTTCAATACTTCCATTAATTAACAAATTTCTCAATTAACTTCTTTTTAAATTCAATTATCTTCTGAACTTTCTAAAAAATTGTCCTCAATTTAAATTTATGAAAATTCATTTTCTATATCTCCTGAAATTTTAATTATTTCTGAAAAACTTAAATTTCTCTTCCAAATTCGATTACTTCCAGAATTTTAATTTTAATTTTTTTAATTTTAATTCAATTTTTCAAAAATTCAAATTTTTTTATTAAAATTTCTATACAATTCAATTACGGTAAGTGTATCAATTACGGCGTGTTCATAAAAAATAACTAATATTACTATTATATTTAATATAACTGTTGCAAAATGATTTTAATTTTTATTTGATACAATTACTAATAAAGATGAACATTTAAACGATTATTAATTTAACTAGCAAAATTAAACGCGCGCAAGCACGCCAAATTGAGTATTTAATTGTTTGTTATAAAGAAATTAAAGATTAATATTATCAATAATAATTTAATTTCTTAGAATATTATTACATATTAAATAATAATGAAAATTATATTTTTACAGGCCTCGGATTATACGACTTTTTCAGACTTTTTTCAAAAATACGACTTTTATCGACTTATTTTAATAAAATGCGACTTTTTTTACATTTGAAAAAAAATGTAAATAAAATACATTTTTTTTAGTATAAAATTTAGATCTTCACATCTTCTTCAATTCAATTATTTAACAAATTTTGAACTAAAATGATTCTTCACTAAATTAATTATTTTTAATAATTTTAATGAAATACATCACAAATTCAATTATATCAAAATTATTTTTCAATTAAAATTTTTATGAAATTTAACAATTGTTTATAATTTAAAAAAAAATATCACAATAAAATTGAATTACCTATTTTTTAAAAATTTCTATTCAAAATAAACTAAAATTCAATTATTACCCGAAATTTTAATTCAAAATCAATTAAAATTCAATAATTATCCAAAATTTTCAATTTAAAATTTAATTATTTACCAAGTTTTCAATTTAAAATGAAATAAAATTCAATTATTTTCTAAAATTTCTATTCAAAATTAATTATCCAAATTTTCAATCAAAAATGAACTTAAATTAAATTATTATCCAAAATTTCAATTAAAATTCAATTATTTCCCAAAATTTTCAATTCAAAATGAACTGAAATTCAATTACTTTCCAAATTTAAAATCAAATAAAATTTAATTATTCTCAAAAATTTGAATTCAACATTAATTGAATTTTCAATAATTTGAATTTAAAAGCATCTAAAATTTAATTATTTCTAAAATTTTCCATCGAAATTTTTTTTTTTTAATTTAATAATTTCAATTATAACTCTAAGGAAATTCAATTATTTTTAACTATTTTAATAATATTCTTTGAAAATTCAACTATCTGAAACCATTTTTCAATTAAAAATGATTTTCAAATTATTGTATTTTGTCCGCATTTTCTAATAAATTTTTAGTGAAATCATCTAAAATTTTAATTACAAAACACTTAAAGTTTCAATTAATTTCAAAAATCTCAATTTTAAATCTTTGAAAATTCAATTAAATTTAAAAAATGTTTTCCAAAAATTGTTTGATAAATTATTTTTAGTTCTGTAAAATTTAATAATTGTTTGAAAATTAACAATATCTTTGAAATTTAATTATTTCTAAAAATTTCAACTTTAACCCTTCGAAAAGGATAATAATTAAAAAAAAAAATTTATTTAAAAATTTGTAAAATATTTTTGTTAAAATAAAAAACAAATCCACTGTTTTTTTGGAATATAAATCGACTGAAACGACTTTTTGTGTCTTTAAGTTGATTCGAGGCCTGTGTTTTTATAATTAATATTTAATAGGTATTCGTTGGCCCCTGGTACGTTAAAAATTAATTTTTAAAAATAAATTATTTTTAAATTACGTACGTAATTTCCTGGCGCATCTTTTTTCTCATCATACATTTTTTGTATTTGTATCCAATTTTTGAATCAATATACAACTTTAAAAGAAATTTCGTTGGTAAACGTTGTGTACTTCAGCTTCGTGAATTGAATTTTGGAATTGGGAATTTTAAAGAAACTTATTCCAAAATTTGGAAACACAATTATACAACTTTGGCAAAAATGAGAAAAAGAATTGTCAAAATTTGACACGTCATAAGATTACTACTCAAAAAAACACGTGAAATCAGAAAAGGCCAACTTCAAGTTAGGAGAGAAGGACAGACCAAGCATTTTATTATTTATTATATAATTATATAATTATTTGAAATCAAATTTTTTCCCTCGCCGCAATTGAAACATTTTTAAGATTTCCATTAGCACCAATTACGGTGGACAAAGTATCTTCAAAATACACGAAATTTTGGTCACCGTAATTGATACACCGAAACTGATACAAACGCTCCGTAATACGAAAATTACGGTATTAGTTTTAATTTTTCACATTTGTTTAAATAATCAATTTTTATAAAGTTAAAATTTTTTTTAATATCTAGGGTAAATGTACTAATTACAGTGCAATTAGATTCAAAACACTGTTGAAATAGAAAATTTTTAACTTTATAAAAATCGATTATTCAAACAAATATGAGAATTTAAAACTAATACCGTAATTTTCGTATTACGGCGCGTTTGTGTCAGTTTCGGGGTATCAATTACGGTGACCAAAATTACGTGTATTTTGAAGATACTTTGTCCACCGTAATTGGTGCCAATGGAAATCTTAAAAATTTTTCAATTGCGGCGAGGGAAAAAATTTGATTTCAAATAATTAAATTAATAATTGTTTAAATGTGCATCTGTATTAGTAATTATATCAAAAAAAGATTAAAATAATTTTTTTAATTATTTTGCAACTGTTATATTAAATATAATAGTAATAATAGTTATTTTTTATAAAAGCACCGTAATTAGTGCATCTACCCTACAATTTTTTGAAAAAAAAAACGACAAGACAAAAATGCAAAAAATCCTAATTTTTGCCAAAAACTTAAAAAAAAGGGGGAAAAAATTTTAGAAAACAATAATAAATTTTTTTCTAACTATTTTTAGTTGGACATGTATTGACTGCTGTTAATGGTGAACCAGTAACAGGATGTGAACTTTCAGATGGAAGAAATATCATGGAATTATTGGATAAACAAGAAAATTTTCCAATAACATTAAAATTTAGTCGCGCTAAAATGACAACAAATGAAAAAATTTTTCTCGCATCAATGTTTTATCCTCTATTTGCAATTGCCAGTCAATTAAGTCCAGAACCACGTTGTTCAGGTATTGAAATATTAGAAGCAGATACATTTCGATTATATTGCTATCAAACATTGACTGGTGTTAAATTTATAATTATTGCTGAACCATCACAAACAGGAGTTGAAATTTTAACAAAACGAGTTTATGAATTGTATGCAGATTATGCTTTAAAAAATCCATTTTATTCCCTAGAAATGCCTATTCGATGTGAATTATTCGATACAAGTCTACAATTATTATTGGAATTAGTTGAGAAATCAGGTGCAAATAATGCTTAATGAAAAGGGGGTATTTAAAAAAAAATTTTGTAAATATTTATGTGTTGAAAATAAAAGTTTTATATTAAAAACATATTTTGTATTTTTTATCTATCAACAAAGCGACGTAATTTAAAACAGATTGGACTTATTTTTATTTAATTAAAAAAAGTTACATAAAAAAAAAGATTTTGTTTAAATCCTTCCTTTAGGTCTTACAAGAAATCGATTAATAAAATCTCTTTGTTTTATTTTTATTTTAGATGATCCTGTTTTAAAATATAATTAAAAGTAGAAAATACTCGCGGATTCTGCGTGGAAAGTGAAAAAAAAATTAAAGTTAATCTTTTTTTGATTCTGCGCCGAAATTGAAAAATAGATAGAAAAAAAAGATTAGAGTAAAAAATCATCTTTGATTTTGCGCGGAAATTCAAAAATAGAAGTAAAAAAATTAAACACTCGTTTACAGTAAACTCAATCGTTTTTTTTTTCATAGAAAAAATTAAATAAAAAAGTTTTACACATTTTTTAGATATCTTAAAAATAAATTAAATTATTTTGAAAAAATAACATCTTAAATCAACATCTCTTAAAAAATCTTGTAATTTTAATTAAGAGCATTTGAACCTTCGTGACGTCACAAATCATGGCGCATGACACGCAAACTTCTCAGGTATGTGAAAAGCACAATTTTGAATATTTTTTAAAAAAACCTTTTGGAAAATGTTCAGAATAACATAGACTCTGTCTGTTATGTGCGGAAAATTCAAAATTTTGCGTTTAAAACGTTTTTTAAACAATGTTAAGGTCACAAATCATGGCGCATGACACGCAAACTTCTCAGGTATGTGAAAAACACAATTTTGAATATTTTTTAAAAAAACCTTTTGGAAAATGTTCAGAGAAACATAGACTATGTCTGTTATGTGCGAAAAATTCAAAATTTTGCGTATAAAACGTTTTTTAAACAATGTTTAATGTTGATTGTCACAAGTAAGGAAAAATACACGAATTGCTTATATGTAGGCATTGTTTAAAAAACGTTTTAAACGCAAAATTTTGAATTTTTCGCACATAACAGACAGAGTCTGTGTTATTCTGAATATTTTCCAAAAGGTTTTTTTAAAAAATATTCAAAATTGTGCTTTTCACATACCTGAGAAGTTTGCGTGTCATGCGCCATGATTTGTGACGTCACGAAGGTTCAAATGCTCTTAATAAAAAATACATTCGGAAGATTTTTTTTTATTTTTGGGCAATAGTCCTGTCATTTCCTTTTTTTAAAGATTTATTTCCAAATTAATCCAAAATTGATTCCAAATTAGACTCAACAATAATATTAAAAATTCACAAACTTAAATTCACAAAAAAAATAATTTCATTATTAAAAAAATATCTTTTCTCAATGATTTCACTATATAGAATGAATAAATGATTTTGTTTATTATTCTTCAAGGAAATTTCGTTGCCAACCAAAAAAAAAAAAAGTTAACAATTGAATTTTTAATCACGAAATTCATAATTGTTGGTTAACAATTAACAAAAAAAAAAGTAATCTTTTTTTGAATGATGACTGATTAATGAATTTGAAGGTAAAAGGAAAAAAAATAGGAAGGAAAAGAAATTTAAAAAATACTCGCGAAAAGTAAAAAAACAAAAAATAGAAAAAATTAAAAAGAACAAGATTCTTCTTAATTCCATTCATTTTTTAATTTAAGAAAGAAATTTCGTAATTTGTAATATTTTGAAAAATATTTTAAAATTACCATTAATGAATTTTGTAGTTTGAATTTTATTTATTTTTTTTTTTTGTACAACATTATATTACAATAATACCGAAATTAATAAAGCTCAAAATTATTATAAGTCTAACACGTCTTTCTCATAAAGTGTTAACTTTTGCTTATGACCAGGATATTTTTTCTTGTATTTTAAACCTGTTACTATTGTAGAGCTCATTGGAAAAGCAGTTTTACCATCAAACTTTGTGTCAGTTTCTGAAAAAGAAAAAAGAGAATTAAAAATATCTGTTTATTTTATTTTATTATTAAAAATAATAAATTTAACAAAACCTGGATGGAAGCGATTATAATCGTAAATCACATGTAAATTTTTTGGTAAATCTGCAGTTTGAAGTGAATCAAGAGGCGTTGTTGTATTTACTGGAGTTTCATAAAAATTTCTCAAATCACCTAAAAAAAAAAATTATATTTTTTACAAAAAAATAATTTTAATAAATCACTCGGTAAAAAGAAATATTGTATTGAACATAAAACAATTGTGTTTTTATTGACCCGGAGTGATTGATAATAAAAAATATAAACAATTTTAATTTTTGATATTTTATTATTAAAAAAATATTTGAAAATATTACCTATTGTTTCAATAGAGCATAGTAAAGAATTTGGTATTGTGTGCTGAAATTCTTCTTCGCAACAAACTAGTAAATTAAAACGTTTAATTCTATCTGTTAGTTGTGTATCATTTAATATTGCAATTCCATTTTCTTCGCACAAAACATTTAGTCGTTCAGAAACATCTTCAGCCGGATGGTATTCTTTGTAATTACGCAGAAATCTGCAATAAAATTATAAAATAATAAAATTAAAAATATAATTTATAAAATAAATAAATGTATAAAATATTATTTATAAAAATAAATAAATTTAAAAAATATTATTTTATTACTAAATTTCCAAATAATAATTAACATCTACTTATTTTCATAAATTTATTTGGCTGAAACAAAACTATAAATTTTGCTTGAAGATAATAAAAATTTTAAAATATGAATTACATAATAATGTAAATATTAGAACACGTCAATATAAAAATGTCCTTTTATACGTCTCGATGCAAATTGTGTAAGATGGAAAATCAATAAATCGGGAATTTCATCTCAAGTGTACCAACAACAAAAATTTTCTTCGTTTGACATGAATTTTTTTTTTTGTAAATTATTATTACGATAAGCAAAAATTTATCTTTTTTTTAAACAATTATTACATTTACAGAACGACACAATTTTTTTTGAAAATTTATAAAAGAAAAATTGTATTTTTAATATTTCAACTTTTGTCAAAGAATGTCGCGAAGAAACTATTTTTAATGTAGATTAAATGTTTTGCAAACTTAAATAACACGTAAGCTTCCGGTAAGTTTGCGGTAAGCTTGATATGAGATTTTTTAGTTACTTTATTCATTACTATTATTATTATTATTATTATTATTATTATTATTATTATTTACATTTTATTAAATATTTTATTTAATAAAATTTTTTATTTAAAATTTATTTAAAAATAAATAAATTTATTTAAAATTCAAATTTAGTGTCTTTAGTGAAAACTATATAATATAATTATTAAGAAAACGATGTAGTAACACAAAAAAAATATTATTTATTTTTATTTTTTTTTATTTATTTAGAACATAACGGGACATGCCCTTTCGTACAAAAGTACTCCTAAATTCTAATAGTTACGTAAGTAACAATACAAAATATAAAATATTAACTAAATCTAGGTAGGCGCTATAATGGCTAAAGTTCATTATAAGTTTATACAGTAAAGAATAACATAAATCAAATTACATTACATTACATTTATGTAAATCTTTTAATTTTTCATCGATAAAGCAATTGACTTAGAAGTTTCTGCGAGTAACATTGTCTTTTTGTTTTTCAGTTCGTTTTCTTTGGATTGTCATTTTCAATTTATTTTTTAAACTTAATTATAATATTAATTTTCCACACAATGAAAATTACTTCTAAACTAATTTTTTTTTTCTTTAAAATGCAAGTAATTATTGATATTATCAAATTGAAAATCGTCTTGTAAAATATACAAATCTTGATTTTATTCATATTTTTCAAAGAAACTGAAATTTTTAATTTAAAAAAAAGTTTTAAATTAATTTTCAGATAAAAAAAATTCCAATTTTACTAATTCAGACCTCGGATTGACTTTAGAAAGAGAAAAAAGTCGTTTTAGTCGATATTCATTACAACAAAAATCAAAAAAAGTCGATATATTTTTATTTTTAACAAATTTTATTAGTTAATAAATATTTTCATTATTATTAACATTTAATTTTTAGAAATTTTCAAGATTTCAATTCAGTAGGAAAAATTTTGAAAAATAATTAAAGTTATTTTAAATGAAGAAAAAATTTCAAGTTATTGTATAAATTATTCGAATTCAGAATTTTGGCAAATATTTTAAATAATTAAATTTTCAAAGAACTTGATTAAAACATTATTGATAACTAGGTGTTCATTTCATGACCATTTAGCTTTCTCATCATGATACACTTATATTCAAGATTAAAAGAAGGATTACAACTAAAATATGCGATCAATTTTATAAATATTAGTAAAATGTAAACTTTGTATACCTCAATCGATTCGTTTTTATGCCAGGAATACAATTTTTACAAGAATTAATTTAAAATTTTTATATCAGAAAAAGTTATTTCAAAAAATACAAAAAACGATTATTTTCAAAATTTCAAAAAAAATGATTTAATCTATAGATTTAAGTAAAATATGAACTTTATATAGGCTAATCGACTCGTTTTAATGCAAGAAATAATTTTTTTTACTTAACAAAATTAAATTTACAAAGAAAAAAATATTTTGAAAAAAATTTTTTTTTTAATTTTGAAAAAATTGTAAAAAATAAAATGTTGTGAATATATTCGGAAATCCTTGTGTCAGATTTTAGGTATTAATGATTACAATAAGCATACAAAATTTCAGAACAATCCGTTAAAACGTTTCTGAAATAATTTGTACACAATATTTTGTGACATACACACACACATACATCTGGACATTTGCTCAGGACTTCATATATATTATTTCTAGATGAAAATGAGTCCATATAATCCAATTTTAAAAAATCGAAAAACGTCACGAATGCAAAGCTTCCTCATGAGGAAGCAAAAATTAATTTATTAATTAAAATTGTTGTAAATTTGAATTTACTGAAATTTTATCAACAAAATTTTAAACAGTAATGGAATTTTAAAGAAATTTTAATAAAAAAAAATTGAATTAAAATGATTGAAATAATTAATTTAGGAAAGAATATTTAAATACCAATTTAAGAATTTTCAAAAATTTAAATTGAGAAAGATTTTTTACAAAGTTCAGAAGATAATTGAATTTAAAAAAAAAATTAAATTGAGAAATTTGTTAATTAATGGAAGTTTTGAAGACTTTGATTAAAGTTATCAGAAATAATTAATTCAACAAAGAATTTAAGTTACAAATTTTGAAAAATTATTGAATTTTAAAATAGTTGCAGTTAGAATTGTTAAAAACAATTGAATTTCAGATTTTTAATCAAAATTTTCGTGAATTTAAATTGCGGAATATTTTTTTTATAAGATTCAGAGAATAACTAAATTTTAGAATAATTTGTACTAAAAAAGTGTTTCAAATAATAAAATTTTCAGAAAATTTTGATAAAAGATATTAGAAATAATAAAAGTGAAGAAAATTTTAGAAAAAAAAATTTAATTTCAGAAGAGTTTGAGTTAAATTTTTTAATAATAATTAATTTTCAGGAGATTTTAAATTGAAATTTTCATAAATTATGATTCAAATTCAAATGATACAATTTTTTTTTACAAATTTTAGACAATAATCGAATTATAGCGAATTTTTTTAGGTAATCATAACATGTTTTAAATTATTTATGATTTTCGAAGAAAATTGAATTAAATTATTTATACTAATTTTCACTAATTTTTATTAAAATATTACAGTTTAATTTAGTAATATTTTTTTTATTAAAGTTATAATGAAAAATGACTAAAAATAAATAGAATTTTTCATTAATTTGTAGTAAAATATTACTATCTATTTAATTTAGTAATTTTTTTTTACTAAAGTTTTAGTGAAAAATGACTAGGAATTAGTAGAAATTTGAACAAATTTTTAGTAAAATATTACTATTTGATTTAGTAACAAAATTTTACTAAAGTTTTACTGAAATATTGACTAAAAATTAGTAAAAGTTTTAACTAATTTTTATTAAAATATTACTATCTATTTGATTTAGTAATATTTTTTTAAATAAAGTTTTAGTTAAAAATGACTGAAAATTAGTAAAAATTTTCACTAATTTAAATTAATGAACTAATTTTATAACTAATTAAAATTTAAAGAGCAAATTGTTTAAAATTTGATTTATTACATTTAGATATCAATTTCAATTTTTAATAAATTAAATTATTAAGTTTATTAATTAAAAAAGAATTTTTTTTTATTACTAAAAGTCTAGTTTATTAAATAATATAATTTTTTTTTAATAATCATTGTAATTAGGATCTTATTTTTTGTTCTGACGATCGATGAAATATTTTATTTTTTGTTTATATATAGATCTTATATTAGAATTAGGATCTTATTCTTTATTTTTGTTCTTCAGAACGATGAAATACTCTATTTTTTGTTAATATATAGATCTTATATAATAAAATTATTTTGTAATCCTAATAAAATTAAAAAAAAAGGTGACATTTTGTGACCCCCCGCAAATAAGAATTAGTGTTGAGAAAAGTTAAGCAAAAAAATCGATGTTTGGAAATGTTTACACAAGTGGGGACAACCCTTTAAATATATTACTTAAATACTGCACATTTTTGAATTTTAGTTTTCTATAAAAAATATTGCGAATCTAAAATAGATTTAAAATTCTATTTAAGGAAACAGTGAAACTAATTTTTTTAAAAAAACAATAATTTATATTTAAAAAAAATAGATACATATTCAATACAATAAATAAACTATAATTTTAGGTTAAATTCACTGTTTTCAGTTCTATACAGTTTTCTTTAAATACGCGTAAAAGGTAAAAAGAAAAATAAAAAAGAAAAGCCGTTAGTCGCGTCCTTTTCTAGTTGTTGTGAGACGGAAAAAAGAGCAACTCTTACAAACAATGCAGTTTACGTTAAATTTTATCGTTTGAAGTGGGGGTAAACGATCAAAGGATAAACATGGACGAATAATCACAGATGGGATAATCTAATAAGAGAGAGAGATAGATATTGTTGAAAGTGTTGTCAAGTTTATTTATTTTTTCCCAAAAAAATTGTGTATTAAATATAATAAAAAAAATGTGAATTTACAAAATTAAAGGGAATTTAGTCAATGACTTACCCTTTTGAAGCAAGAGACACTCGTGTTGATTCGATAGTGACCTTTTTGACGGGAACTATTCTTTTCTTTCCCCGTGTGACTATCAGTGTTATTCCCTATAAAAACAATAATGAGATAAAAAATTGTGTATTTTAATATGGAAAAAATTGCCCCAATTACCGTTAATGTATTTTCAAGTGAATTTATTGTTCTTAAAAGTGAATTGGAAAGAAAAAAAGAAGCATGCTTCCTAAGCGCGGCCATATTTTTCTTGGTTCCAATTTCAATAATTGTGACGATGACGACGACGACGACGACGAGGATGCAATAGTAGGAGTAGTAGTAGTAGTGATAGAGCAGCATCAGCAGCAACTTGGGTTCATTGGTGTAATGGAGAGAGAGAGAGAAGTGTGCGGTGAAAAGTTGTCTTCGAAGCAATACGAGTGAGAGGGAAGAAAAAACTTGTTCAGTTTAACGTTAGAGGCGCCCTCGGCGGCTGCGCTTGTTGTTTCCCATGATCCGCCATTTTATAGTCGCCATTGAAAGGTGAAAACCCTCTTAAATGTTCTCGACAAGTAGTGATCTGGTTTATAAAAATTCGGGCCTAATAATCGTGTTTGTGTAGTTAAATAGTGAATCAAGTGCTTAACAATGGATAAGCTATGACGCATCCGTCGCATCAAACCAACGGCGCCAGTTTAGAGGATTGCCACACAAATTTCTTTGCTCTGGTAAGTGAACTACTGTCTCTCTGACTTTGCAATGTCCACCCTAGACTAGAGAGAACACTTAACTGTTACAGGCTGTCATATGACAACCATCTTTTCAGTTCATCTATTTCTCTTAAATCCTCCTTAAATCTCTATTTAGAATTAGAAAATTTTTTTTCTCCATTTGTTTAGTACTAGTATTATTATTATTATTATTGCTCCTATAAGTGTACATCTTATTCTTCTCACGCTTTCTCTTTCTTTCTCGCTCCAATGCTTTCTGTTTATATATCTATTCTCTTATGCTCTTCTCTTTACTGCAGTTATTTCTTTATTAATATTATGTATAAAATAATGTACATATATATAATGCAGAAATTTTTATATATAGATATACATATTTGTGTATCTATGGGTGTGTAAGCGCGCGCTTGTATGTGCGCTGTCTATTATCCCACGCACATAGACAACAATTAATATGCACATGTAAGATGCACAAGTGTCACAAATTGTACATATATGTATAATATACATATATATATTGCAGTATAAGTCAGTTTCGATCGTTTTCCTAGAATGTGAACTTGTTTTCTTTTCGTTTATGAGAATCCAACTCGAATCACGTCATTCAGATCTCTCAATTTCTGTTTTCTGTCATGTTTGGTTGCAAGGACGAAACTCGAGAATGCATTGAACACCACCACCACCATCGTCACATCGGCCTTAGAATGTTAAACATGCAACAGGGTCTAGAGTTTATATTCTCTCTGTTTTATAAAAATTTATTTGACCATTTTTTTTTAATGTTCTAATTTGCAATGTTCTTTTTAAATTTATTTTTCTCTATTATTTTCTCATCAAAAGAATTTATTTTTTGTTTTGTTAATGTGTGTGTGTGTAATGTGCGCATCCGATTATATATTTTTTTTTCCTGAGATTTTCTTCTTTTTTTGAAATAAAAATGATTCAACCATCTGACAAGAAACTGACCTTACTGTATATATATATATATATATTTTCCCAAAGCCGTTCTACACTATTTAACGCAACACAACTTTCTAAACAATCTCAGGAGCGCATAACATTGCAACAAAATTTTTTTTTTTTACTACGCGAACCAATATAGTCATTATTCGTACAATGAATATTTTTCATTGTAGTTGTATTAATAATTCTAATAGGCGGAATACGATAAAAGTAAATTATTAAATATATTAGGTTTTATTTTGTGATTTCGAAGCTGGGAGTGTGTGACTTTTTGAATTCTTTTCAATTTTTGTTTTTTTAAAACGATTTCGACTTTTTTATAGTGTGAAATGCAAAAATCGACATTATTTTAAATTCATTATTTTTCTATTTATGTTTTTAATTTTTCTATTTATTTCTATTTAATTATAATTAATTATAAATTTATTATAATTAATTATTTATTTATTATAATTATTTATTTATTATAATTAATTATTTATTTATTATTATTATTTATTTATTTATTATAATTAATTATTTATTAATTATAATTAACAAACTAGTACGATAATAATTGCTTTTTTATTTATATAATAAAGCAGTGTTTAATTTTCAAAAAGTGAAAATCATAAAATTATCAATACGAAAAAAAATTTTAAACCTTCTAGGTTCAAAATTTAAACAATTAAGAGAATTTTACCAAAAATTGTATTTTTTTGAAAAATTATGTTTTAAATTGAACACACAGTTTTTTTTTGTAATAAAATATTTTTTTATTGTTAATTCATTATTATTTTTATAATTTTATAAAAATATATTTTATAATTTTCATTCGGGAAATTAAATAATTAAATTAATAATAATAATAATAATTATTAAATAAATAATTATTAATTATTATAATTGTATTATAATAATTATTGCTATTAATTATTCTTATATTATTATAATTATTACTATAATAATAATTATTATTATTTTATTATAATTATATAAATAATTATATTATTAATGATAATTATTATTTATTTATTCCATGATATTCGTTGAAAAACGTAGTTTTAAATAAATTTTTGAAAACTCTTTTTAAAAATTTGAAATACAATTTTAATGAAAAATTTTATGAATTCAAATCTTGAGAATCATTTCAACTCAAAAGTTGTTTTAAATATTAAACTCTATAATAATTCCATCAATGATCATTAGGAAACATTTTGTAAATCTGATTAAAGTTGAAAATTTTAATGATACTTTCAATTATTTGATTTAATATTTGATAAGAGACTTCTAATTATTTTATTGATTATTTGGAAATCTAGAATCATTTAATAGAATATAATTTTAATTATTTAATTTTTGGAATTTTACAAAAAAAAAGATATTCTTTTTTAAATTTGTAATTATTATACTAATAGTGTAAAAATAAATCCTTATTTACAAGAGGGATTGTAATTTTATTTATTAAATTAATAAATTAATTAATTTTATATAATTTTGATTATACGAATAATTTGAATTATAATAAATAATAATAATAAATCATTTAAATTGTATAATTAAAATTTTTAATAGAATTTTAATTAATTAATTAAAAATTTTAATAGAATTTTAATTAATTGATTAAAAATTTCAATATAATTTTAATTAATTGATTAAAAAATTCAAAATAATTTCGATTATTTGATAATAATATAATTTAAATAACTTGATTAAATATTTGAAAATTATTTTAATTTATTTTACTAACTTTTTTTTGTAGAGAAAATTTTAATTATTGCCTTTTGAATAATTAAAAAAAAAAGAATTTGATATTTTTATAAACATGGAAATAAAGATTTACCTGGTACAGCAAAGCCTTTAGTGTAATAGCAAAAGTTTTAATTGTTTCAATTAAACCTTTCAAATAATGAAACCTTTCGCTGTTGGAAATTAATTTTTTTTTCCCTTTTAAAATTATGGAAATTTTTTTTTAATTGAAAAGTTTATTTTTGAGTTAGAAATTCAAAAAATTAACAATTTAAAATTTTAATATTACAGTTTGTAATTAATATTTATTAATAATAAAAAAATATCTATTAACTAATTTAGGAAAAATTTCGACTTGATTTGTTTACAATATAATTTTACTAAAACAACATATTTTTTTGTCACTAAAAGTCGATCTAAGGCCTATTTATTTTTTATAAAAATAATAAATAATTACAATTTAGGTGAATTTTACATAATTTTTAAATTTATATTTAAAATTATGTAAAATTTTCCTAATAATTTTAATAAATGATGGTTTTTATTCTTAGAAGAAAAAGATTCTTTTTAACTCCGATTATTACATTTTTATACATAACTGATACTGCAATTATAGCATTTTAACGAAGCTGAAGTACGCAATGTTTATGATAAACGATTTTTGAAGAAGTAATTTTTTAAAATGAAAAATTCTATAATTTTTTGCCTAAAAAATATTTCTTGTAGTTTTCATTATAAAAAAATATTTTTTAAACAAAAAATTATAGAATCTTTCATTTTTAAAAATTATTTCTCTTCAATTCGTTTTTCATATACGTTGTGTACTTTAGCTTCGTGTATTTTGTTTAAAAAAAAAAATATTTTTGATATCAGTAATATTTGATTTTTTTCAAATTAATTGAGTTTACTTTCGCCACTCTCAAAGGATTTGAGGAAAGTTCAACTTTCACCACTCTTAACTAACACAAAAAGTTGCAGTTTCAAAAGTAGACATTGAAATAAAAAAAATTTTTCCTGTATATGAAAAATGTTTGCCTCTCAGAAATTAAAAAAAAAAAAAAGAAAGAAATTTCAATTTTTGTTATAAATTTATATTTTACTTTCAAATAACTACAAAATAATAATAATAATAATAAAATAGTAATAGTAAAGTAATTTTTACTACTTTCAAAGTAAATCTAAAATTGCATTTCTAGAAATTTTTGTTCAGAAAATAGTAAAAAAAAAAAATAAACAACTATTTCCGGAGTAAAATTTACTATTTCGTGAGTAATTTTTTCTATTTCCTGGAGCAAAATAAATATTTTGATAATAATCAAGTAACCGATTATTTGAATGAAATAAATTTTTTTTCCACTGCAGTGTAATTATTTATTAAAAAAAAAAAAATAGTCAAGTAAAATTTCTCAACTAAACATTCAGTATTAATTTGAGGAAACTATTTCATTGCGGTTTTCATTGATATATGTAATTATCTGTGTTTCGAATCATAGGAAATAAAATCTCTTCTTGTGTTAATGACATAGAAGCGATGATTTTGTTATTCGTTTTATGAGGGAATAGCAACCTACTGTATAGGTTAATCGGCCTGCTGTCTATATATATATAAGCAATTATTTACTCTTGTTCAAGTTGAGCAAACTAACGTACGTAATGTTAAAAAAAATAATAATAATTTGTAAATGAATCAAATTTTAACAGACAATTTAAAAAAAATTTAAATAAGCATATATTAATTTATCATAATTAACATGAAGAAGAAGAATATAATAGTTATTGTTAATTTGTTATCATCCGCTAAACTTACAAATCATACACACATGTGTGTCAACATTTCGAGGAGTGTGAAAATTATATTTATTTTATTTGATATAATTTTTTATATTTGATCGAATTTTTATTTAAACAATATGTCGATCTTCTTCAATTCAGTTATTTAACAAATTTTGAACTAAAATGATTCTTCACTAAATTAATTATTTTAAATAATTTTAATGAAATACATCACAAATTCAATTATATCAAAATTATTTTTCAATTAAAATTTTTATGAAATTTAACAATTGTTTATAATTTAAAAATAAATATCACAATAAAATTGAATTATTTTTTAAAAATTTCAATTCAAAATAAACTAAAATTCAATTATTACCCGAAATTTTAATTCAAAATCAATTAAAAATCCAATAATTATCCACAATTTTCAATTTAAAATTTAATTATTTATACCAAGTTTTCAATTTAAAATGAAATAAAATTCAATTATTTTCTAAAATTTCTATTCAAAATAATTTATCCAAATTTTCAATAAAAAATGAACTTAAATTAAATTATTAACTAAAATTTCAATGAAAATTCAATTATTTCCCAAAATTTTCAATTCAAAATAAACTGAAATTCAATTATTTTCCAAATTTAAAATCAAATAAAATTTCATTATTCTCAAAAATTTGAATTAAAAATTAATTGAGTTTTCAATAATTTGAATTTTAAAGCATCTAAAATTTAATTATTTCTAAAATTTTCCATCGAAATTTTTTTTTTGAAATTTAATAATTTCAATTATAACTCTAAGGAAATTCAATTATTTTTAACTATTTTAATAATATTCTTTGAAAATTCAACTATCTGAAACCATTTTTCAATTAAAAATGATTTTCAAATTATTGTATTTTGTCCGCATTTTCTAATAAATTTTTAGTGAAATCATCTAAAATTTTAATTACAAAACACTTAAAGTTTCAATTAATTTCAAAAATCTCAATTTTAAATCTTTGAAAATTCAATTAAATTTAAAAAATGTTTTCCAAAAATTGTTTGATAAATTATTTTTAGTTCTGTAAAATTTAATAATTGTTTGAAAATTAACAATATCTTTTGAAATTTAATTATTTCTAAAAATTTCAACTTTAACCCTTCGAAAAGGATTATTATTAAAAAAAATAATTTTCTATTTAAAAATCTGTAAAATATTTTTGTTAAAATAAAAAACAAATCCACTTTTTTTTGGAATATAAATCGACTAAAACGACTTTTTGTGTCTTTAAGTTGATTCGAGGCCTGTGTTTTTATAATTAATATTTAATAGGTATTCGTTGGCCCCTGGTATCTTAAAAATTAATTTTTAAAAATAAATAAATTATAAAATTGTAATGATTTCATTACAGAGTCTCTAATAGTTATATTTTTATAATTATTTGAGAAAAAAAATTTTATAATGAATTTCTTATAAAAAATTACCTATAATAGCGAAAATATTATACAAAAAACATTATACTGAAAACATTTCAGCTTTAACATTATTTTCTTATAAGGAATTTTCATAAGGGTAATTTCTACAAAAATTAAAATTTTTTGTGAATTTAAAAATTTTTTAATCTAAAAAAACTTGAATAGTTTTTATTACCATTTATTACTACCATTAAAAATTAATTTATTGTAAAATATGTCAGTAACCATATTTTTGTCCAAAGAAAGCAGAAATAAGGTTATTAAAAAGTCAGGGAAAAATCAAAAAATTTCAAGGAGGAGTCAGAGAAAAGTCAGGGAATTTTTTTCTCAATCCTTGTTAGACACCCAGATGACGAAAGTATTTTAGTGCTGATTTTAATATTTTAACTTTCGCGATAAGTTTTTATTGCTTAATTTTGTTATTCGCGCAAAATTATTTTTCATCTCATAGTAAAAAGAAAGAAAAGTAAAATAAAATATAAAAATTAATAAAATGTGAAAAAATAAAATCCAAAAATGCAGAACTTCAGAAAAAAATATTTGAAAAAAATGAAATTTATTTATTTTTGTTATAAAAAATAAATAGACATTTAACGAATTAAAATATTATTATTAAAAATGTTAAGAAAGAACAAATATTAATAAAAAAAATTAAAAACTTACACAAATTATTTATTTAAACATTTTGCATATTTAAAATATTTTATTTGATGATAATATTTATTTCTGCTAAATTTATTTGAAACAAATAAAATTTTACTTGTGCTAAATTTATTTGAAATTACTATTTGAAACAGAAAAATTTTATTTGTGCTAAATTAATTTGAATGAAATAAAATTTTATTTGTGCTAAATTAATTTGAAAGAAATAGAATTTTATTTTGGCTAAATTTATTTGAAAGAAATAAAATTTTATTTGCGCTAAATTTGTTTAAAACAAATAGAAAGTTATTAGGCTCTGAAACAAATATATTTTTTATTTGATTCAAATAAATTTTTGTCTCAAAAAAATGCAAATAAAATATTTCTCTGGGTGCAAACCTTCGTAGAATCGCAAACTTGCTACATTGAAGTCCATTGGATCCAAAAAAAAAAATTATAAAATAAAAAAATATTAATTATTTTTACTAGTCAATTTTTTTCTAACACTGAAAAGAAAATTATTTGATTCAGATAAAATTGGTTACTTGAAATAATACTAAATAAATACTATTTATGTATTAAATAATTATTAGAGTCAATTAAATGATGTTTGTTTCGAATACAGAAATTATTTATTTAAATACAGTTTTTAAAATAAAAATTATTTGGTTCAAGTAAATATTTATTTGAAAAAAATAAAAAAAACATTAAATATTTAATAAATTATAAATTTTTTATAGAAAGGAATATTTTATAAAAATTTGAAGTTTATGTAGTAAAACAATTTTTCGTTCGATTGATTTCCGGTACATGTTTTGGTCAAGAAAATAGGTCTAAATTTTTCACTGCGCATCTGTAAATAATTTTGTCAAACTAACGGGAATATTATAAGATTATTATAAGGTGGAAGAGAGAGTGTAAAAAAAAATTGTAGAAGGACGAGGAATAGAGTTAACGGGTTAAATTATACTCTTTCTCTGGATTGATAAATCCGTTTATAAAAGTGCCGCCCGTTTCCCGAAATTTCAATACTGGCTGGCGATGGTGGGTTTCGAGGAGCTTCTCTGACCTGCGCTAGACTGACTCACGAAAGACTTTTCCTCGTGGAATAGCTGATTGGAGGGGGAACTTTGTATGGAAGCGCTTCTGTTATTAAAGTTGTTCTCTGGTAACAGGTCAGATTGTAAGAATCAAGAGATTGATTAGAGGCGCGCTCTTGACTCAATCCGAAAGTACAAAAAAAAATTAAAATTCCTAGAGGATACACTGAAAAAAAAATTTATTTGATTCAAATAATCCTTTACTTGACGATTATCAAAATAAATATTTAAATAAATATTTATGAATATTTATTTAAATATTTACTTCAACCAAATGATTTTTATTTCAATTAAATTGTTCCGAATTTTTTTTTCAAAAATAAATAAATTTTAGTAGAATTAAATAAGAAAATAAATTTTATTTTAATAAATAATTTTTGTATTTGAAACGAATTCCATATCAAATAATAAATAATTAAATTAAATTTTCCAAGAATAAGTTAAAATATTTTTGAAAAAAAAATTAATTTTAAATGAAAATTTGTGAAATAATTGAATTTCAGAAGAATTTTAATTAAAATTTTTCAAATAATTGAATTTTGTAAGAGTTTGATTTAATTTTTTTAGAAATAATTGAACTTCAGGAGATTTTTAATTAATACTTTTATAAATTTGAATTAATGACATTTTTTTTACAAATTTTAAACAATAATTGAATTTTAGACAATTTTCAACTGTATTATGTTCTAAATAATTGAATTTTCATGAAGTTACAGTTAAGATTTTTAGAAATAATTGCTTTTTTTGTTATTTCAAAAATTATAATTTTCTTGTAAATATAAACATGATAATTAATAATAAATTATTAAACAAGAATTATGTAGATAAAAATTTGGAAAATATATTTTCAATTGAATTGACATTCAATTAATTATAAAATTATTAATTGTAAAATTTCAGAAGAAATAGGTAGAAATTTTCATAAATTTTAATTAAAATTTTTTTACAAAATTTAAAGAATAATAAAATTTTTTGGAGTATTTTTAATTAAAAATCTTTTTATTTCCCGGAATTGTTAAAAAACTGTATTTAAAGTAATTAAAAAAATTAATTTAGCGAAGAATTTTAAATAAAATTTTTAGAAATAATTGAATTATAGAGAATTTTCAATTGAAAAATGTTTTAAAAAATTGAATTATCGATTTTGGATTTTTGAAATTTTCAATAAAAATTTTAATAAACATGAATTATTGGAATTTTTTAAAAATTATATAAACAAAAATTTAATTTTAAAGTATTAATTAGAAAACTTTCTATATAATTAAATTTTTGAAAAACTTGATTAAAGTTATTAATTGATTGGAAAAGAAATTGACGTTAAAAATTTAAGAAATAATTGAGTTTTAGAAGAGCAATAGTTAAAATTTTTGGAGAATTTTAGATTGGAAAATGTTTTAAATATTTTAATTTTCAAAAATGTTAAAATTAAATTATTCAACAAATTCATTTTTAGATAGAAAATTTAGAAATAATTGTAATTTAGAAGAGTTTGAGTTTAAATTTTTAGAAATAATAATTAAATTTCAGGAGATTATTAATTGAAATTTTTATTTTCAATTGGTGAAATTTTTTGAAAAACTTTAAACAACAATTGAATTTTATTAAATTTTTAATTGAAAACTGTTTGAAATCATGTGGTTTTCGAAAAATTTGTTTGAAATTATTTAAAATAATTGATTTTATAAACAATTCAAGTTAATAAATTTTTTGAAAAATTCAATTTTAAAAAATAAAAAAAAAAGTCGAAAAAGTCATGCAATCCGAGGGCTGTTATTGAAAACCTTTTGAAATATTTTCATTAGGGTCAGGAAACAAATTTTAATTATGATTGGAAATCAAGGAAAAGTCAGGGAAAAACAAAATAATATTTTTGTGTTAACCCTGTAAAATTATTTATTATTTACAATAATTTACAATTATTAAAAAAAAAATGTTTAATTATTTGCAATTTTAATTACAGACTGATCTTTGCGGCATCAAATGGAGAAAGCTTGTCTATGGCGAGACCACTACAAGCTTTGGGGGTACACCCCTTGAAGATCCAATATTGTCGAGCTTCTCCCGCTGTTTGGCGGGAGATATTCTTTGCGTATGGCGGAGAGTGGCTGCCTCACCATCAAATGGTCCAGGTTCTGGAACCGGTGGTGGCATTTTCGATATGGGCATCACAACTTCACCTGCACCACCGCCACTTTCCTTAAATGCCGCCAAGGAACTATGGATATTTTGGTACGGAGAAGAACCTGAGCTTAGTGGCTTAGTTTCTTCGGAACTTCTAAGTTGCGGTGAGTTATTTAAATACAATTTCATTGAATATTTTATTCAAATTTGCAATATTTATTAATGAAAAGAATTTTTTTTTAAATTACTGTGCTAGGTGAAAATCTGAACAAATAGGACACCTAATTCACCTAATTAGAATCCTACGATCGCTGATTACGAATCGAATCGCTTTATTTTGACCTAAATCTCAAAAGATCGAATTCCATAAAGTCGAAACACAATTTTATCGAATTGTTAAAAGTTCGAATTAACAAAAGATCGCATTTGTAAAAGAATTACCAAAAGATCGAATTTTCAAAAGTATGATTTATTAAAAAATCGAAATCAACGATGTATAAAATTATGGTTCGGTTCGTATGTAAAATTTGAAAGTTAGAAAACAGAATTTTTTTTTTTTTTAAAAGTAATAAAACAAGTCCAGTGAATTATATATGTATGAGAAAATGTTAAAAAAAATTGTATTTGATATTTATTAAAAATTCTTCTATTTGATTTAAAATTTAATAATCTATATTTAAATGAAAAATTTATAAGCAAATTACAAGTTATTTTTAGTAATTATAAAAATCGCATCATCGTCTATAAAACTTACCCTAAGAAGGAAGCAATAAGAAAATATGAAAGATATTAATTTCTATGTATTTTAATTACAGACAGTGAACAAGGATCTTGGGAAAGTGGTTTATCGTATGAGTGTCGATCCCTTCTCTTTAAAGCTCTACACAACTTGATTGAACGATGCCTCTTATCTCGAGATTTTATTCGTCTTGGGAAATGGTTTGTACAACCATACGATGGTTTCGAGAAACATCGTTGTAATAGGTAAGAATTTTTCAATCTAAATTTATTAATAAATTAATTTTTTAATCGATTTCTACAAAATCATTGAGAATAACAGAACAAAAAATTGAATTTTACGAAAAAATTTTGAATCTACCTATTTGTAGTATATTTCAAAATATTATTAATTATAATGGAGATATTGATGTTTTCTTATTGTTTTATCAGCTTATCAGACATGAGAAATCATGATTAAAAAGAGATGTTGATTCCTTGGAATTTAATTCATTTGGGATATGTAGAGACTTAAGAAAAGATTTTAAAAAGATCATTTAATTAGGTCAGGAAAAAAATTTCTTAGAAAATTAATAGGATATATAGAAAAAAAATTTGTTGCACAAAATTATCACAAATTGGTGATAAAAAAATTATTTTTTTGAAAAAATAAAATGGCATTGCACGTATTTTTATCTCATGAGAAGTATAAAATTAATATGCCAAAGCGAGAAAGATCCTCAAACTTACGTTACTTTTTTTTCCTTTTTTTTCATGTTACAGTACTCATTTGTCCTTCGCATTTGCATTCTTTGTTCACGGAGAGAGTACTGTTTGTGCAAGCGTAGATGTCAGACAACATCCTGCTGTACGACACTTGACCAGAGCCTGTCTACATCGTGCTCAAACATCACAATCTGCCGTCAAAGGTATTTTCAATGAAAAAAAAAGAAAAATTATTTCGAAGCGATGATTATTGTTTTGTTACCTGTATATTATTTTTTCAACAGTAATCTTAGCACCTTATGGACTTGCTGGAACTTTGACTGGCCAAGTGAGTCGCGTTGATAGTCAACTTTTGGAAGAATGGAAACATTTTTATCCAATAAATGGCAGTTCACAAGAATCTGGTTTGCCACCATTGGTCGAAGTTCTCGTTGGTGGTGTGCGAATGCGTTATCCTTCTTGTTATGTTTTGGTTACTGATTTGGATGAAGTAATTGTTGACAGTCCATTGTCACCACCAAGCAGTCCCACTGGTTATGATCAATCTCTTTTGACTCAACGTATTCTAAAACCAGCCACCGAATTACCAGAACGCGTTTGGGCTGAATGTATTTTAGACACGCCAATATCATCTTCCAAATGTTCTGATTCTTCCTTAGAAGTAGGCACATGGACATTTGTTGATCCTACTCAAAAGTCTTCCTGCACTTGTTCCAAGTGAGTATTTTGTATTACAAGTATTTTTCTGTAGAGTGAAATTTTATTTTATTTTTTTAATTTAATAGGATCGTTCTCAATAGAATGGAAACACCAAATACTCCAACTGGAGGTCCACCATCATATTCAAGGGGTCCACCGACAGGTGGTGATTGTTTGCCTGTTCCCTCAGTGGGATCACCGGGATCTCCAGTACCGTCACCTCTTCCAACGCCACACTCTGAACCAGCATCAGTGCCACCAGCAGATCCAGTAATGCCAACTCTCAGCCCACAGCCACCTCCTAGTCATACAAACACTGGTCCACCTTTAACACCATTGCAAGGTCCAAAATCCGCATTGTCAACTTGCGTTAATAATCAGGTGTTCAGTCCAGTTCCAGGACCCACTCTCAAGAGACCGATTTTGTCATCTAAAGAATATGAGGGTGCACTTATGGAGGAGGAACAACCACTCGCTTGGTTGTATGACTATTCAACACAAGAGGCATGGCTTAATCATCCCGTTAAACGATTTAAAGGACTCACAACATTACCAGTAAACAGTCGCAATAATAATTTGTATCCTCCTATGGCGTGTCAGCTCCTTCAACCTCAGGCAACACAAATGGAAATCAAACAAGAACCTACAAATAATACGGTAAGTTTCAATTTTTCGGTTTTTGCATTTTTATACCAAAACATGGCGTCCGTTGAAGAGATATTCCAATAGTCAAAAGATTAAATTAATTTAAATAAATAAAATTAATTATAATTATAATTAATTAAGTCGTCGAACCATTAAGATTTGAGATCCTTGAGACCGTTAGAAATTTTAAGACATAAGATCGTTAAAACCATTGAAACTTGAGAATTTAGATTTGAAATTATTGAGACGTTTTAAAGTGTTGTGACTTAATATTATTGATTAGAGAATGTTGAGACATGTTTTTGATGGTGAGAAGAACGGACGCTAAAGTTTTTTAAAATTGAATCGAGCCTAGAGTCACCTACCTTGCCATATATGTATGGATGGTGCTACAGGAACTCGAAGAATAAACTATGATCATACTTATGCCCTGGCTTAAATATTATATTTAATTCAGGTACCGAGTCTTGATACATATTAATGATTGAAAATTTTAAATGAAATATAATATTGATTTAAATTTTCTTTAGGATGCTGCTAACAGCGGTGGAAGACCAGATCCATATGAATTTGATGCAGCTGGAGATGAAAATGGTGGCTCAGTTGATGGACTAAAAAGGCCGCGGGAAGATCCTCCAAAACCTGGCTCCCTATTCACCAACGAAGGACTACAAGCATCCTACAAAGATTTAGATCAAATTTTCGACAACTCTGATCCTGATACTTCTAGCGATGAAACAGTAAGTTTCTTTTTCTTTGCACGGAAAAACTTTGGGTTCCGTTCCAAATAGACCGAAAATTCACGAATGCGATACGACTTTAATTTGGAGGAGCTACAATTCTAATTCGTGTGTGCTGAGCGCCCAAGATGCGTCTATTGCAATCCCAAGGATTGAAGTTTTCAAATCTTGGGTGTTCAGCGCCATCGACATGGGTAGATTTCTCGAATTGAGATCGTAGCACATTCAAACTAGAATTCCTCCACTTTCCGACAATTGGAATTGCACGGCAAATATTTATTTGTTTTTCTTTTTTTTTGTCCTTACAGAATTTAAATCAACTACAGATACAAACACCACCAGGATCGAATAAATCCGGTGGCCTACACGAGGAATCAAAATTGGATAGCATAAATAAACATAATAATCGAAATGTAAGCGTATTAAGACCCGAGGAATTGTCAAAAATGTTTCCCACTCCACCATCATTGGAACATAATCCGGTAGCATCGCCCTGCCAATTAAGTGATATGCCACTTGATCAATCGGAATTATCTACCTCTCAAAGGTCATTTAGGCATCTTCCCGATATTTATCCCAACATGGGATCACCACCCGAAGAGCCAATTGACGATTGGTCATATGTTTTTAAGCCGGCAACAATTTGTAAACTCGTTGGTTCTTCGAAATATGCTCCACTTACAAATTTGCCAAGTCAAGCACTATCGCCCATTTCACTGCCATCGCATTGTGTTTATAGACCTTCATGGCAATGCAATGCAAATAATTCCGAGAAAACAACAACAACAACAGCAGCGACAGCAACAACAGCTGCTGCAGTAACAACAACAACAACGCCACCAACACGACCAAGTTCAGTGCAACAATTACTTTGTCCACCAAGTCCAGCAGCTTCTGGTGGCACAACTCCTTATCGAGTTAATATTTCCGGTAGACAGCAACAACAACCACCGCCGCCACCTCCTCCGCCTCCTCCACCGCCACCACCTCCACCTTACGATCAACCCAGTCCCGCCACTTCCACTACATCATCCTATTTGAATAAAAATCCAAACAGCATCGAAGCTGACACACCCGGACCAATACGTGTACCGGAATCAAATTCACTTGTCGTCAATATTCTCCTTGGTGACACGGCCCTCAATATATTTCGGGACCATAATTTCGATAGTTGCAGTCTATGCGTTTGTAATGCAAGTCCAAAAGTTGTTGGCAATATTAAAGGCGCTGACGCCGGTACATATTTGACAAATTCATGGTCAACAAATAGTGCATTCTTTCAAGAGGACGATCAAATTCGTTGTAGCTGTGGTTTTAGTGCCGTTGTTAATCGACGATTGTCACACAGAGCGGGACTATTTTACGAAGACGAAATGGAAATAACAGGAATTGCCGATGATCCCGCGGAGAAAAAGAAAGGTTCCCTCGCGCCATTCCTATGCAATGGTAATAAAATACCCGAAGCTTTGGATACATTACCACCCGATATACTAGATCTATTGAGAGATCAATGTTTAATTGTTGAAAGTTCAGCAAGTAGTTTATATAGAGCGTCAAGAATTTATGCCATGACTAAAAGTTATCCCTCATGGCTACCAACGGTTAATGTATTAGAATTTAATGATGGCAATGAAGTTTCATTAACGGCTTTAGATCAAGGGAAAATTGATGGCACACATAATGAAAGAATTAATCGTAATAGCGGTGTACATCAGTGGGCATTTTTACGTGCAAAAGGACCGCAATGTAGTGGCGATATTGTACGTATGATGAGGGTGCTTCAACCACTGTTGCAAGAGGCGGTGCAGAAAAAATGTACAACACGAATGTGGGAAGCGCCGTATACTGTTACTGGACCACTTACGTGGAGGCAATTTCATCGTTTGGCTGGTAGAGGTACTGATGATCGCTGCGAACCACAACCAATACCAGCATTGGTTGTTGGCTACGACAGAGATTGGCTTTCACTTTCACCATATGCTCTTAGTTATTGGGAAAAGCTTTTACTTGAACCATACGCTGGGCCTAGGGATGTAGCTTATGTTATATTAGCGCCAGACAATGAATGTGTTATCAAGAAAGTTAAGACATTCTTTCGTGAACTCTCCACTACTTATGAGGTAAAGTATTCATTTTTTTTATCTTATTCTACAGCTCATTTTTTATTATCACATTTGTGATGACTATCCAAATATACATTCACAACTCGATTGTCAATAAACCGGCTGTGCTTGGAAGAGATTTTCTGTAATTTTCCACTTCCCTGGACAAAAGTCCAGGAAAATGCGAATGCTTCTAATAAAACAGCCAAAAAAATTTAGATACCTTGGGGATATACAATGAAATCAATATTATTATAGTACTATGAGACCTCCCGGAGGATTAAATTTATTCAAATGGTGAAAACGGGCTCTGTGGGACGCATGAATATCTCATAAAAATAATTAGATAGAATTTTCATTTGTATGAATTTCATTTGACAGTATTTCTTGTTAGACGAATTTTTATTTTTCGAATAAGCATTTGAGTTACTTTCTTTGTAAACGAAATTATATTTAACATAATTTTTAGGTACCGGATTTTTATCTGATATAATTTTTATTATAACGAATTTCTCTTTATCCATTTTTTGTTTAAAAGAATAATAATTAAATTCAATTTTAATTTATTAGAATTCCCATTCAACAGAATTTTTGTTATTCGAATTGCAGGCCTCGAATTATACGATTTTTTTTTTTTAAAAATACGACTTATTTTGATAAAATGCGAATTTTTCGACTTTTTTACATTTTTTTTTTAATTAAAACAAAATACTTTTTTTTAGTATACAATGCAAATGTTCTTCAAATCTTTCTTATTTCAATTATTTAACAAATTTTTAACTAAAATTCTTCACTAAATTAATTATTTTTAATAATTTTAAATTAAAATTAAAATTAAAATTTAAAATTATTTATTTAAAATAATTAAAAATTTTTATTTAATTAATTTAAATTAAAATTTAAATTAAATTTTTATCGTCTTTTTTCCAAAAATTTTTTTTAATCGAAAAAATTTTTAAAAAGAAAAATTTAAGGTTATATATAATAAAATCGTATTCCTTACGTCAAGACAAATCGATCAATATATATAAAGTATAGTTTTCATTTAAGTTTAAAGAATTAATGAAAGTTAAAAAATAGAAAATTCACATTTTAGCTGAAAAATTTTGTATTTATTTAAATTCAAGTTTAAATATAAAATAATTGTGTTCCTTGCATTGAAACGAATCGATATAATTGTAAATAATTATAAATTATATATTATTTTTCATTAATATTTAGAAATTTCGGCTAAAATGTGAATTTTTGATTTTTTAACTTCCATTAATTCTTTAAATTTAACTCAAATGTATAGGTACTCAAATGTTTATAATATTATATTATTTTTGTATGTTTATTTGAATGTTAATGCTTTCTCCACGAGGAAGCAAATTTTTTTGCTGATCGTAAAGAGGAAGCAAAATGTTCATGTAATGAACATCTGAATTTACAATTTATAATATTCTTCGAAAAATTAACTGTCTGAAATCATTTTTCACTTGAAAGGTTTTCTATTTTTGTCAGCAATTTCTAATTAATTTTTTTAGTTAAATCATCAAAAATTGAAAATCACTTGAAGTTCAATTAATTTCAAAAATCAAAATTGTAAATCTTTGAAAATTCAATTTCTTTCGAAAAATGTTATCTAAAATTATTTGATAAATTATTTTTAGCTCTGTAAAATTTAATTATTGTCTGAAAATTAACAAAATCTTTTGAAATTCAATTATTTCTAAAAATTTCAACTTTAACTCTTCCAAAATTCAATTATTATTGAGTCATTCCATTATATTTCAACTAAAAAAAATTTTTATTTAAAAATCTGTAAAACTTTATTAAATATTGCCTGAATTTTTTTTTTGACTGTCAAAACTAAACACTATGACAAAATTTTCAATTCGAATACCGTGGGTGGCCCAGTTTCCGTCCAGCTAAGACCCAGTTTCCGTCCACTTTAATTTTGAACATAACATTTATAAAAAAATTATTTTCTTTTATTTATTTACTTCAACTAATAAGTCCGTTGCATGCCAAAAAGAATAAAATATTGTTGAAAAATAATTTAAATTATTATACGAGATATTTGTAAAAATGGACGGAAACTGGGCCACTCACGGTATTATTGCTTAAATCAGACTTAAAAAAATTATAAAAATGGAACGTTATGCATTTTTTTTTTAGAAATTTGTCCTAATTAAATAAAATTTTGAAAATTTGTCTTAATTCGATTCTGAAATATTCGAAATAAAATTTCTTGATAATATTCTTATAGAATTATTGTTATTACAGAATTAATAAAATGAATTTAATATCTAATAACATTAGTTATTTAAAGTAAAATATTGATTAACCAATTGAATTTTGTTAAAATAAAAAAAAATCGACTTTCTCGGTTCTTTTTGGGAATATAAATCGACTATAACGACTTTTTTTGTGCCTTAAACTCGATCCGATGCCTGGAATTGTTTAATGTCAGAATTTTTAATTTATCGAATCTTCATGTGTCCGAATTTTTATTTACACGAATTGTTATTTGATAGAATTCTCAAAACAGCGAATTTTCATTTGACAGGAAATTGCAAATGGCCGAACAAACAACCGTCAGAAAGATATCGGTACAATTTTTAAAATAAACCAATCAGAAATTATTCAGAAAATTGTGATTGGTTTATTTTAAAAATTGCGCCAAAATCTTTCTGACTTTTGTTTGTTCGGACATTGGTAATTTCTGTCAAATTAAATTCGCTGTTTTAGGAATTCTATCAAATAAAAATTCGTGTAAATAAAAATTTAAACACATGAAGATTCGATAAATTAAAAATTCTGACATTAAACAAATTTGAATCACTAAAATTCTGTTGAATGAGAATTTTGATAAATTAAAATTGGTTTAAATTATAATTTTTTAAAATAAAAAGTTGAATAACACAAAAATTTGTTAAAATAAAAATTATGTTAAATAATAATTACCTAAAAATTATTTTAAATAAAGTTTACAAAGAATGTAACTCAAATACTAATTTGAAAAATGAAAATTCGTCTAAAAAGAAATTCTGTTAAATGAAATTATACAAATGGAAATTTTGGCTAATGATTTTTATGGGATTCTGTAAATTAGGCCACATAAGAATTACTTTAGTGAAAAATTTGGCTTAATAAAAAATATATTAAGAGTAAGAATAATAAAAATTGACACAAATAAAACTTTTGACAAATAAGAATTAGGTTAAGTTATTATTAAGCTAAATAGAATTTATGTCAAATGGAAATTAGGTCACATAAAAATAAGGATAGATAAAGGTAAAAATTAGTTTACAGAAAGATTAGAATTTTATTAAATAAAAAATAAAACTAGTTATAATTTAATTAAATGCAAGTTCAAATTAGAATTAGGCCAAAAAAGAATTTAATTAAATTTTAGTCAAAATAAAAAGTAGGTTAAGTTATAATTCGAAGAAATAGAAATTAGAATACGAGGCTTTAGAAGTAAGTTATTATTTGTAAAAAAAGAGTTGTAATATATAAATATTAAACCAAGTAAGAATTATGTCAAATGAAAATTAGGTCAGATGAATTTAAAAAAAGAAATAGAATAAAATTGTTTGAGTTAATTAAAAATTACACCAAATGAGAATTAGATTAAATAAAAACAGGTTTTAGAATTAGATTTACAATTAGAATTAGATCAGAATTAGAAGCTGGATCATGTAAATTTAAGAAAAAATCGAGCCTAGAGTCACCTACCTTGCCACATATGCATGGATGGTGCTACAGGAACTCGAATAATAAACTATGATCATACTTATGCCCTGGCTTAAATATTATATTTAATTCAGGTACCAAGTCTTGATACAAATTAATGATTGGAAAATTTTTAATTAAATTTAATATTCATTTAAATTCGATAAAGAATTTATTAACGGAAACAGCTAAAAAAAAATTGTATCTGAGTTTGAAATTTTCAATAATTTGAATATAATTTTTTTTTAAAGATTTGTCGTTTGGGAAGGCACACTCCTATTTCAAAAGCATCACGTGATGGTATTCTTCGAGTAGGTAAATCGGTAACTGAAAAATTCTCGAAACAACCTGTCGACGATTGGTTCAAATTATTAGGCGAAAATCAAATAGGAGAATTATTACGACTCTATGCTACAGTTTGTAATCATCGTTTAGCTCCGTATTTGACACAAGTTATTCAGGATCGTAGTTTATTAGACACTGGTGACAATCATTCTAATAAACAACAGCAATTACAATCTCAATCACAAACGCAACAGCAGCATCAACAACAAACACAACAGCACGCAACAACTGCACCATCAGAAAATATGCCTGTCACTCCTGATGGAACGCTGAGTAAGCCTGAATCTATTGGTGAGTGAAAAAATAATAATTAAAACACATTTTTTTTACATTTAAATAAAAAATCTGTTTTTTTGCAAAAGAAGGAGAAAATGCACGTAGTGAAACTCCGAATGCAACTCCAAATGCAAATTCAACAATTGGCAATACAACGCCAACTTCTGTAAATACTTCCACTGCTGCTTCTGCAACTATTGGTCCTGATGATGAACAAGTTGAACCTCCATCAATTGTTGTTTATTTAGTTGATCCATTTTCTCTTGGTGGTACGGAAAATGTTGATCGACGAAGGCTTGCAATTTTAGCTTTATTAAGGGCATATTCCGCTGCTGTTCGGAGTATGCCAGAAAATATTAGATCAAATATTAACGTGCAGGTAAGAATAATCATTATTTTAATTTCAAATTTTAATTTTCATTCATGGATAATAGAAAGCAGTTTTAATTTTATATTACCACAATTTTTTTTTACTTTTTTGATACTTTTTTCCGTAGGGCTACTTTTTTAATACTAATTTTAACCCGAAGCTACTAAATGATACTTTTTCTAAATAAATATAAAAAAATTTTGCCAGAATTGTGTAGTTTTTAAGTCTATTAATTGATAATTAAGATTAATTTACAGTTGTTCAGACGAATTCTCCTAATTCAATTGTTTGAATAACCTTCATTCATCAAAAATTCAATTATTTTTTAAAATATTAATAACATTTCTAATTAGTTCAATTATTTTATATACTTAAAATTGAAATCCTTGGAAATTCAATTACTTTCAAAAAAATTGCAATTAAACACTTAATAATTAAATTATTAAAGACAATAATTTTAATTGAAATACTTAATTCGTTTCAAAAATTGCAATTACAATTTTTCTAAATTTCAATTATTACCAACATTTTCATTTAAACCATTATAAATTCAATTATTTTCAAAAATTTCCATTAAAATCCTTAAAACATCCAATAATTTAAAAAATTCTTAACCACAATTCATCGAAATATCAATTGCTTCAAAAACTTTCAATTATTAAAATTTTAAAAAAATTCAATATTATTTAAAAAATGTTCAATCAATGTCTTTAAAAATTCAATTATTTTCAAATTGATGAATTGAAATTAAAAGATTCAATTATTATTTTCAAAAATTTCAAGTTCAGCTCATTAAAAAATTAATTCAATTATTTAAAGTAATTTCAATTAAATCTGTTGAAAAATTTAATTATTCTTAAAAATTACAACTACAATTTTTGGAAAATTTAATTATTTATTATCAGCCCTGATAATTGAATTAGTCCCAATTTCAATTTAATTTTTGATCAATTTATATTTCAATTCATTGAAATTTCAAAAATGTTCTAATTTCTATTAATAAAAATGGTGGAAATTTTAATTTCTAATTCATCCATATTTAAATTCATTATGTAATTATTTAAAAATTTCTTTAATTAAAACTGCTTTTAATTATGTAGAAATAGTACTGTAATAGAACGCAACGTTACCACTGTATTTTATAGGGCGTATGAATTTTCCCCAAAAAATAATCATGAGTTAAAATTTTCATTTTAAAGAATTTTTTTCAGACGAATTTTTATTTTTTAAACAAGAATTTGAAAGAATATGTTTTTGAAAGATGATTTTTTAAAATGATCTGATTTAAATCAATCATGGTATATACCATGAAGAAAATATATCTTCACCCAAGGGATTTTTAAATAAATACTCTGTTTTTCATTGCCAATTTTTTTATAGGCTTTTTTCATGAGTTTAAAGTCAAGCGTATGGATTTAAAGAAAGAGATCAAATAAAAGGTTGTGCCTCTTTTTAAAATATGAAACAATCCGTTGTAGATAATATTTGCTGGAGCGACCCTAAAAAAGAATTGAATCTAGTGAAATTCTTTGAAATATAATTTTGAAGTAAAGAATCTTATGTAATTGCAATTGTTGTAATCATAGAAAAATAAAATTGCCTTTTATTTTTAATTTAACAGTTAATATCGTTAGAAAGTGTAATGGAATTGGGGCGAGCTCGTGAAAAATTAAAAATTCAGGAGGAAATGAGAGCCCTAGCTTTAACTGTCTTCTTACAAGGTCGACGTCTTCTCAATCATAATTCAACTGTTAAAAGTCTAACTGGTTTTGGTACTGCGGCCGCTGCCGATCTTTTCCTCAAAAGTAAAGATGTAAGTATATTTCTTTCTTTATTTTATTTATTTTTAGAAATAGATTTATTTTCTTGTTAGAAATACGTTTAAAAAATAAAAAAAAAAAGAAAAGAATAAATGATAATTAAGAAACGATTAGCCATGGACAAATCGTTTTCAGTCACTTAGTAATTCTATTGCCACTCTACATCAGGAACGAAATAAATCACCATATCGACTGTACGCACCGGCATATGTCCTCGCACCGTTGCGAGCAAAAAGTGAAGCACCCGAATCTTTTGGAATTGCTGGACCAGAAGAATGCGCTGTACTTTATTTGAGCTATTGCTTAAGTGAGGATCAATCTTTATTGTTGGCCGTTGCAACTGATGATCGTGGAGAAATATTTGAGAATACAGCTATTAATATTGACGTCCCAAATCGAAAACGAAGGAAACGTGCTTCCGCAAGACGTATTGGTCTGCAAAAATTAATGGACTTCATTCTTGGTGTTATGTCACAGGGGGTGAGTCATTTTTATCTTTCTTTTTTTTTACAATTCATTGACCCTTGACTTATTAATTTTTAAACGAAATTAATATTTTCTAAAATTATATTTAATATTCCATTTTAGAAAAATTCAATTTTTTTGATTTATGAAATTTATTTTTACTTCCGAAGAAGTTGTTTTTAAAAAGATGCATTTTTTTTTTGCTATGAAAGGTCCAACCATGGAGATTGGTTGTGGGAAGAATAGGTCGCATTGGACATGGGGAATTAAAAGGTTGGAGCTGGTTACTTTCACGAAAAGCTCTTTTGAAGGCGTCAAAACATTTAAAGGAAATTTGCGGACAATGCAGTCTTTTGTATCCTACCGCAGCTCCATGTGTTCTTAGTGCTTGTTTAGTGTCATTAGAGCCGGATTCGACATTACGACTAATGGCTGATCAGTTTACTCCTGACGAACGATTTAGTCAGGCATCGGTTAACTGTCAGTTATCAACTCCGCAAGATGTTACGTGTACTCATATTCTTGTATTTCCAACTTCAGCTACTACTCAAGTAAGTCAATTTTATCTCTATTTGTCCCTAAAAGTACCCATATTTGAAAAATTTCCCCTATTATTCACAAAAAAAAATTAGTATAAAGCTATGAATTTTAAGAGAATATTTTTTTCTTTTCGTATCCAAAATTTAATGAATTTATAAGAAATATTTGGATAAAATAATTATTTATCAAATAAATATCTAAAGCATTATGTAATTAAAAAATTTGGATTCAAAATCCATCAAAGTCTATTCAATGGAATATTTAATACTTATCAAAAAGTTTTGATAGAATTTCTATCAAATTATATTTTGCAAACTTCAAATTGAACGACTTTTTCGATTTTTTTTCCATGAATGTGACTTATTTTAATAAAATATCGCTTCTTTGACTTTTAAAAACAGTTTTTAGATAAATACAAATTTTTTTTTGGGGATAAAATATAAATATCTTTGCAAATTTGAATTATTAAGAAAAATATAAACTAAAAAATACTTTACTAAATTAATTATTTTCCATAATTTTAAACAAGTTCTTTAAAAATTCCATTAGGAACAATTTTTTAATTTAAAGTTCTCTATAATTTAATTATTGTATAAAATTTTGTTAATAATTTTCATTAACTCTAATTTACAATAATTTCAATAAAAAATCTTCAAAAGTTCAATTGTTTCTAAAAATTTTTCAAATTTGAATTATTTCTAAAAATTTTATCAAAAATTGTTTGTTGTTTTTATTATTTCTAATAATTTTAATCAAGTTCTTAAAAAAACTGAATTATTTAAATCATTTTTACAATTTAAAAAATGTTTAAACTTCAATTATTGTTCTAAGCTTAAAAAAAATCTTCTGCAATTTAAATTTACGAAAATTTTAATTAAAAATCTCATGAAATTCAATTATTTCTAAAATTCTTTGGTAAATTAATTATTTCAATAATTTTAATCAAGTTTTTTAAAAATTCCATTATTTAAAACAATTTTTCAATTTAAAATTTCTCTAAAATTCAATTATTATATAAATTTTTATTAATAATTTTCATTAACTTTAATTTCCAATAATTTCAATAAAAAAATCTCGAAAAATTCAATTATTTCTAAAAAGAGATTATTTTAAAAAAAAGATGAAATAAATATTTTTCTCTTGTTCTTTTTTCAGTCTTCTCAGACTGCATTCCAAGAACAACATATTAATGGACCGGAACTTGGAGATGAAGAATTATTCTCCGCATTAAATGACGATATGCCAGAGGGAATGGAAGGAATGGGAGATTTTAATGATATATTTAATGTATGGCCGGAAGCTGGTGCTGGTGGTGGTCAAAGTCCTAGTGGAAGTCCTCATCGTCAGGAAGAGTCGCCACTTGGTGGTGAAGGTGGTGGTTCTGGTTTAGGAAATCATGACGGTCCTGGTAGTCCATTTCAGTGCAACACACCAAGAGTAAGTCAAGAAAAATTATTTATTTTTCAATTCATTTCATTTTTTTTTTTACAATTTTGACAATTATTAAAAATATCCAGAAGTAAATAATTTAAATTTACAATACCAGAAGCGGAATGATAAAGAGATAGAGAGAATAAAAAAAGAATATTACATTTGTAATATGTAAATTAGAGGAAGTTTGATTTTTTTTTTCTTTTTAGGTCGCAGCATCCGAGCAAGCGGAAGAAGTTGGTACACTTTTACAACAACCATTGGCTCTTGGATATTTAGTATCAACGGCTCCAACTGGTAGTATGCCTTCTTGGTTTTGGGCAGCATGTCCACATTTGGAAGGAGTTTGTCCAGTATTTTTGAAAAATGCGCTTCATTTACATAGTCCCGCAATTCAACAGAATAGTGATGATTTATTACAACAACAAAGTGCTCTCACTGCTCATCCACTTGATTCCCAATTTACCACCGATGTATTAAGGTTTGTATTACAATTATTTATTTATTTATTTCAAAATAATTAATAATTTCTGACCTGAAACCAGGGAGGACAAATTTTTAACCTTCGAAATTTTCGAATTAAAATTTTAATAAAGTAAAAATTGTGCTAGTGTAAGTGCATCAATTCCGGCGCGTTCATAAAAAATAACTATTATTACTTTTATATTTAATATAACTTTGCAAAATGATTTTAAAAAATTATTTTGTTTTTTTGTTTTAAATAATTAAATTTTCGAAGAATATTATTAAAATATTATTGAAAAAAAAATTAATTTTAAACAAAAATTTCGGAAATAATTGAATTTCAGGAGATTAATACTATTGAATTATATAGATAAAAATTTGGAAAAAAAATTTTCAATTGAATTAACATTCAATTACTAATTGAATTTGGAAGAGTTCTAGTTAAAATTTTTTTTTTTAAGTAATTCAATTTCAGAAGATTTTAAATTGAAATCTTCATAAATTTTATTTGATAAAATTTTTTTTACAAACTTTATAGAATAATAAAATTTTAGAGTATTTTTAATTAGAAAACTTTTTAATTAATAAACTTGAATTATTGAAATTTTGTAAGAAAAATATAAACAAAAATTTAATTTTAAAGAATTGATAATTAAACGATATTTTATGTGATTCAATTTTTGAAAAATTTGATTAAAATTATTAGAAATAATTAATTGAAAAAGAAATTGAAAATAAAAATTTGAGAAATAATTGAGTTTTGAAAGAGCAATTAGTTAAATTTTTTTGAACTAATTTAATATAAAATAATCGAAATTTAATATAAATTTTCAATTGAAAACTTTTTTAAATCATATAATTTTCGAGGATTTTGTTATAAATTATTGAAAATAATTGATTTTATTGAAAACCTCTTGAAATATTTTTATTAGTGTCAGGGAAAAAATTTTAATTTTGACTGTAAATCAGGGAAAATTGAGGGAAAAACAAAATAATATTTTTCTGTCAACCTGTACTAATAATGCATTTGTTTTTGTTTGTTTTTTTTTTATTTTTGGTATTATATTTTGTAATTCTTCTTTGAGAGATTTTCTAAAGAAGAAATCGATTTCGGAACTTTACAGCAAAAAAATTTTTATACTAATTTGTTCGAATGTCTTTACTTTATTTCTCCTTTATTTATTGTGAAAATTTGTATTTAAATTTTTGAATGTGGAACTTGATTTTTTTCCTTAGAAGTTTCATGAAATGCACCAAAAAATTTTAATTGACAATTCAAATAAATTAATTCTTCACTCGCGAATATAGTTAATATAGTTCCGAAGAAAATGGTAAAAATGAAATTAAAAATTATTTTACATTCACATTGATCTTTTTTATTGAAATATTTGTTTTTATTTAATTACAGATACGTATTAGAAGGGTATAATGCACTTTCTTGGTTAGCAGTTGATGCAAACACGAAAGACAGACTTTCATGTTTGCCAGTTCATGTTCAAGCACTTATGAAACTCTATCACACAGCAGCAGCTCTCGTCTGACCAACAATGTCTTTTGATGTTGCGCAACAAGATGCGCACTTTTCTCATGCACTTATTATTGTTCCGTCATCACTTGGGGCTTTGCGAGAAAAGTTTATTTCATACGCCTCATCTTTACCGTCGGTTTGACCATAGAGATTATTATAATAAAAAAACAAAAAAGCAAAAAAAAAAAAAAAAAAACAAAAAAAAATATACTGAACGTTTATTGATATAGGTTCACATTGATTAAAATTCATCAATTATATTGTACTACTGTATCATCGGAAAGTGGTTTTTAACAAAAAAAAAAAAGAAAATAGACTTCGGAAATGCAGTAAAAAAAAAAACATTTCTTACCCACACAATTAGCATATAGGTTAATTCTTTTTTTTTTTAATTATTAACGTAAATTACGTTAAATTAGTAAATATCAAAAAAATTGTAAAATGGGTAGAAAGGTGAAAATGAGAAAATTGTTTCTCGCGAAAAATGATATTGTATGTATGTATTGTACGTATGAATTAAAAATGTGGGTGTGATTTTTTGCATTAGGCTCTCTTACAGTAGATAGATGAATTGAACATCAAATTTTAAGGTGTTGTATCCAAATGTTTTTAATTGTATATTAGATTTTGTAAAAAAGTTTTTATTATATTACATAGTGTTCCAATCAATATTGATAAAAAAAAAAAAATGATCTTTTAACTTGAAATAATCTTATAATAAAACTTATGGTAGATTTTTTTTTTTCTCTTTTTTTTTCCTTCTGTTTTTAATTAATGAACGCAAGCCTCGTATAAGCCCCTGGTGATAAGTATATATAAGTAAGTAAAAATATGCACAGTATTGGGTCTGTGTTATTTCTTAGATCCTTACGCTGTTACTTTTCTCCAATGAAGTTGAAGATTAAAAAAAAAAAAAAAAAAATCCAGTAACGTCATTATATTATAATATCCATTTATAGTGTAAAATATTGTTTTTAAAATAATTTATCAAAAGTGAAAAAATGTCACTGAGATTAGGTAATTATGTATTAAGCGGACTGAACGAAAAAGAAAAAAATAAAAGAGAGGCGATGAGGGCACAAAAAAAAGTCAAGTAGATCAGTAAGAGATAAAAGAAGAAGAAATTGGGAGAGTACTGAAATCGTGAATAAGAGAGAGAGAGAAAGAGAGAGAAAAGTGCGTCTGCTTGAAAGCCTAGGTGGCCAATTGCGTCAGTTGCATAGTACAAAGTTGACTTGTACATAGGAAAACCTTTTAAAGCCCCATTAGTTAATTTACTCACAATTCACCCTCACTCACTCACTCTGTATCTATAGTATTTATTACTTGGGTAGTACTTCATTATTGGGATTATATTATTATTATTATTACTATTATTATTATTATTATTATTATTATATTAATATTACAAAATACAATTTTACGTGTATATATATTTGCATACCAGATCCTCTCTGAATATCTTATGGCACTTCCATCAATCCTATCTTTTATTCTGATGACTAAACTTTTTTATACTATGTTATATTTATATATACGTGACGCTCTAAAGAAAGGGAAGCAAAAAATTATAGGTTATGTTTATGATCGTTTTACTCTTCTTCTTCATTAGAGTTTTTTCGTTAAAGCAAATTATCAAAAATTACCAAAAGTTCTTAAAATTTAATTTTTCCTATTCTTTAAACTTAATTTCAATGGAAAATAATAATTTTTTCAAAAAGTACCAAAAATTCTCATTTTACTCTGATTGATAGATTAAATTATAGGTTATGTTTATAATCGTTTTACCCTGATTAATATGATTAAATTATAGGTTATGTTTATGATCGTTTTACCCTGATTAATATGATTAAATTATAAGTTATGTTTATGATCGTTTTACCCTGATTAAAAGTTCCTTACATTTAATTGTGTAAAATAAAAATAAATTTTTAGATTTAATGAATGACTGAAATCTTCTATTTTCCACTCTTCAAACTATCATAAACATAACCTATAATTTTTTGCTTCTTAGATCCCTTTCTTTATATAGAGAACGTCACCATATTGTTCATTCTAAGTTGAATATATTTAACGAGGTGTAATTTTTCACAGCAGAACCGAAAATATGCATTTTTTAAAAAAATTAATTTTTAACTTCTATCAAAACTTGCCAGGAATTAAATTTTTTTAAAAAATCACTTAAAAATAAATCAATTTTTTTTGCAGATTTTATATAAATCATAAAAATGCGTATTTTCTATTTGGTTCCTAAAAGTTACGCAACATTTATATATTTGACTTATGAGGTGAATTAACGATATTAAATTAATTGCGCTCTTTAATTACGTATATAAAAATATTTATATATTGTTGAATACTGTTAAATTTGCGATGCGAACAGATAAGTAGAATTATTTTGTAAATAATGATAATTCAAAAAGTTTGTTAATTTAACTCTTTCAGAGATTAGAATTAATTTTCCTCTAGAAAAAATTTTTTTTTTTTTATTAACATTCGATATAAATATACTACAGGGAGAAAAATAGTTTATGCTATTTAGAAACACAACCTCAAATTCCTAACTCCGAAAATTATCTTAAATTTTTTAAACAAAAATAAAACGGTAAAACAAAATTGATGAGAAATCATTTCTTTGGATTACAATATAAAATAGGAGAAAAATTATTTTATTATTCTAGTGACGCGATTTGAAGAACCCTAAGTAAAAATTATAGGTTATGTTTATGATCGTTTGGAACGAAAACACATAACGAGGTGTTTTCAAATAAAAAAAAAAAACTCAATACAAACCATTGAGTCGAAAATAAAAAGTGATTTCGATTTTACATAATTAAAACAGAATCAAGATAAAACTATCATAAACATAACCTACAATTTTTTGCTTCTTAGGGTCCCTTTAGATAGTGTCACAAATACATAGTCGGGAATTTGAGATTATGTTTTTAAAGAAATTTTTGAAAAGCTTTGAATAAACATAAACTAATTTTTTCAATGTAAAAAATTTCCCTTCGAAATTTTAATGAAATTTTCATTTAACAGAAAGTCATGTAACCGATGACTGAAAATAATTTATTAAGTGAACTTTCAATGTTGATTTCAAAATTAATAAAATTAAAAATTATTAAAAAAAAAATTGTAATTGATTAATTTTGAAACTCACGATGAAATATTTTTAAAAAAACGTATGAAATAATTTTAATTATTAATTGGTAATTAAAAACTTTATATTTCTATTATTTTATTGAATTAAAAAAATATTTTTAATAATTTGATTGAAGATAAATTTAATAATTTGTTTAAATAGTCGAAGACATTTTCTAATATTTTATTCATTATTTGAAGTTGATTTCAATTACTTTATTACATATTAAAAAAAAAATTTTTCAATTTATTTCTGTTGAATAGGATTTACGGAAATTTTCAACCCGTTAAATTTTTGTAACTTTTGCAGATATACCGATTGTATGAACAAAAGCCATTGTTTTTTTTAAAGCTTTATGATTATATAAATAATCAGTATTCATAAAAAAAATAATTCTACTTTCTCTGAAAGAGTTACGAAAGAAAAAGATTTGAATGGAGAACTCATTTTTTAAATTTCGTATTTTATGTTTTTATCATTTTTTAAAATAAAAAAAAGTGATATTATTGTCTTAAAATTTTTGTTATTCAAAATTTTTATTCAACAGATTAAATTACCCATATAAATATAAAACAATGTTTTTTTCAGTTGAAAAATTAAAAAAAATTATTAATCATAATTTACATAATATTTTTGATTTTATTTTCTTAATTTATTTTTATATTTACCGAGATTGGAATTATTTGCACACTAAGTGAAAAGTATTATTAAAAAAAAAGTTCATGTAGCTGGATAAATTTTTTTTACTATAATAACACAATCAAATTTACATTACATATAAGAATATTCCAAATGCATAATAGATATTTAACTTTTCTCGTAGAGAAAATTTTAAAATGAATGAAAATTTCTATTCTGAAAAATTTGATCAATGACTTCAATATCGAATTCCGAAAAATGAATGACTTCAAAAACATGTGTGAATCGTATAAAAACGCATGTGTAAATATTTATTATAATGTATTATCGACAAATTAATTATTTTTTTCTCTTTTAAAGTACGAACGTGTCGCTTTTAAATCCAATATTAAAGAAAGTTATTCCAATATTTTGTTCGGTTTTTCAGCTCTTGTTTTCCTTTTACACTGAATAAATCCACAGTCTTTCAATAAAATAAAATGATGCGCTCTGAAGAAAAGAATTTAAGCAAAAAATTATAGGTTATGTTTATGATAGTTTTCCCTTGATTAAAAGTCCTTTATTTTAATCAGGGATTTATTAAAATTATTATTATTATTAATAATTTTTAATAATTAAATTTAATTAATAGTTTCTCAGGAAAAAGGAACCTAAGAAACAAAAAATTATAGGTTATGTTTATGATTGTTTTATCTTGATTAAAAGTCCTTTATTTTAATAAGGGATTTATTAAAATTATTATTATTATTATTAATAATTTTTAATAATTAAATTTAATTAATAGTTTCTCAGGAAAAAGGAACCTAAGAAGCAAAAAATTATAGGTTATGTTTATGATAGTTTTCCCTTGATTAAAAGATTAAATTGTAGGTTATGTTTATGATAGATTTACTTAAAAGTCCCTTATTTTAATTAATATAGTTTCTTAGAAGAAAGGAACCTAAAAAGCAAAAAATTATAGGTTATGTTTATGATTGTTTTATTTTGATTAAAAGATAAAATTATAGGTTATGTTCATGATAGTTTTACTTAATTAAAAGTTCCGTGTTTTAATTACGTAAAATCAAAATCACTTTATTTTGGATGTAATGAAAACTTAAATTTGAATGGTTTTTATTTAGAGTTCCTTTGCTCAAAGCACGTCATTCATTAATCAATATAAAATTACCATTTAAAAATATATAAAATAATTTAATAATTACGAAATAAAATAGATAATTCAATAATTACAAAATAAAATAATCATTAATGAATATATTTTTAATTTCAGCTGTATAATTATAACACTAATTATACAAAAATTACATTAAATAATTTATAAGCAATAATTTAATAATTAACATAAAATTCACATTAATAATAATTAACAATAAACATTCACATAATTACAATAAATTAATTTAAAATTACATAAATCTTCTTTTTTTTCTTTATAGCTTTTGTTTTACTTCTATTTTGGAAAATGAGTTTTGCGTTGTTGTTTGTTTTTTTTTATAAAAATTGTACTGTATAAAAATGTAAATAGGATTTTTCAATTTTATAAATTTCTGATTTATCTGCAGAAAAATTTGATGGGATTCAATATTATTTTTGTTATAAAGAAATTGTCTCTTATTGAAATAGAATAACAAGAGAACAGATTGTCTGTTCTTTTTTTTTTTACAACAATATAATATCATGATCTCTTTCAATTCTTCGTTTTGCTTTAAGCGGTACTATTCCCATTAAATCAGCAGGAGTTGGAAGTCCTCCATAAGTACCAGATGACAATGTTTGTTGATAAAAAACTTCAACATTTCCACATTGATTTCCATAAACGACTGCATCGTCGCTTCTATTAATGGATAATATATAATTAATATATTATTTGTAATGCGCTCTGAAGAAAAGGGATCTAAACTATTAAAGGTTATGTTTATGATTGTTTTATCTTGATTAAAAGTTTCTTTTCAGTTAATTTTGATTTTACATAGTAGTGCAAAATCAAAATAAATTTTTCTTGAATATTTTGAAGAATTTAACTTCTTTGTTTGTTTTTATTGTAAAACAATCATAAACATAACCTATAATTTTTTGATGTCCTTTGTTCAGAGGTCTTCACATTTAAAATAATAATATTTTTTCTTTATTTTTATTTTTATTATGGCTTTTTGAATAATATTATTTGTTAAACGCTCTAAAGAAAGGGACATAAAAAGCAAAAAAATTATAGGTTATGTTTATGATTGTTTAACCTTGACTAAAAGTTTCTTTTCAGTTAATTTTAATTTTACATTAGTAATATAAAATAAAAATCAAGTTTTATTCAATATTTTAGTTTATATTTTTTTTGTTTTCACTTCAAAACAATCATAAACATAACCTATAATTTTTTGCTGTCTTTTGTTCACAGCTAGTCACACTTAAATTAATAATATTATTTTTCTTCTTATTTTAATTATGGCTTTTTGAATAGTATTATATTTGTTACGCACTCTGAAGAAAAGGACCTAAAATATAATAGGTTATGTTTATGATTGTTTTACCTTGATTAAAAGTTTCTTTTCAGTTAATTTTGATTTTACATAGTAGTATAAAATCAAAATCAATTTTTCTTGAATATTTTAAAGAATTTATCCTTTTTGTTTATTTTTACACAAAAACAATCATAAACATAACCAATAATTTTTTCTTATCTTTATTTAAAGCGCGTCACATTTATTGTACGTTTAAAAATGAAATAAAATAGTGTAGCGTAAAAAGAAATTTTTTTTTTTTAATGAAGTAAGGTGTAGAATAAATTTTTGATAATTACTTAAAAAAATTTTTAAGTAGTTGTTTTACGCTACAGTATTTATTTTAATTTTGCCCTTGTACTATTTAAATTATTTGTTATTAAAATCTTTACCTTATTATTATGTCCGTGAGATTATTTTTATTTGAAAATCTATTGTGAAGTGTTGCCAATATATCGAGTTCAGTAACACCCCACAATCCGGAACGATAGGTTGTATCCCATTCGGAATTAACTGAGAGAACACTGTATAATTCTTTATTTTCAGTTATTGGCAAGGGATCTAAACATTGTTGTAAGCATATTTCCAATTTTCCTAAATTATTGATGCAAGTTCTCCACTAAAATGAACCAGTTTGCCAAAAAAAAATTTTTTAATTTCCGTGGCAAAATATATTTTTTTTATTAAATTCAATAAATTATAGTTAAATTGAATTTTGGATGAATTGAAACTTAAATCAATTAAAATTTGAATAAATTGCAATTCAAATAATTTGAAACGTGAAATTTAAATTAAAATTTTTGATTGAATTAAATTTGGATCGCTTCAAATTTTAAGAGATTCTTAGATTTGGATGAAATGAAATTGATAATTTTAAACCTTAACCAATTAAAATTCGGATAACTTGAAGCTGAAATTAATCATTCGGATAATTTAAAATTTAAATCAATTATTTGGATAAGTTAATTCTGATTAAGTTTCTACTGATTGAATTTGCATTTGATTCAAATTTTAATTAATAAGTTTGCTATTGTCAACAAAAATTAGAATTAATTTAAAAGTTGGATAATTTATAAATGAATCGTAAATTTTTATGAATTTAAAATTTGAATAGATTCAAATATGGATAAATTGAAATTCGGATAATTTTAAACTTATAAATCAATAAAAATTTCGATAAATTGAAATTTGGATAATTTTAAAAATAAAGGAATTAAAATTCGAAAAATTTGAAATTAAAATTGATTAATCTTTAGATAGATTGAAATATTGTTATACATTTAAGTTTTAATTAATTGAATTTGCATTTGATTGAAATATAATTAATAAATTTGTTTTGATAAATAAAGATTAGAATTTATTGAAAGTTAGATAATTTTTAATTAAAATTAAAATTTAGACTTAATTGAAATTTGGATTGTTAAAAATTTGGATAAATTAAACTTAAATTTATAGCGATTACAATAAATTTTAATCAATAAATGCTTCAATTTATTTAAATTTTTTTAAAATTTGACATAAATAATTTTTAAATTGAAGAAAAGTTTTAATAAATTCCAGCTTGGGTCAATTATTTATAGAATATATGAAAATCTGTTTTTTTCTGTTTAACTTAATTCAGTGTTTTTACATTATTATCGAAAGGGGCAAAAATATTTTTTTTTTGTGCGATTATAAATGAAAGTAATAAAAAATAAAATAGATATAAATACTCACAAGAGAATGTATAAGTTCCGGATCCGAGCACATTCCATTTTCTAATAACAACATTAAAACCATATTTTGATGTCCACACAAAAATAATTCAGTTTTTTCCACAGAATTTTTAATTTTTGCCTTAAAATCAATTTCATCATTTTCATGTTCATTTGTCAATGAATCAAATTTATTTTTAATTATATTATTTGTTAATGATGAATAATTAGAAAAATCACGAAATTCACTTGGTGTTGTTTCAAATCCCCCTTTTTTTTCATCAATAATAAGACTTAATTTTGACATTAAAGGCGTTAATTGTAGACCATCGAGTTTACGTTGTTTTTCAAATACAGTTGATTTAGATTTTTCTTCATTTTCAAGTACATTAAGTGGTTTTAATGGAAGACTTAATGCACTACGATGTACTTCCTGTTTACTAATATTTTGTAATTTTAAATTAGAGGGAATTTTTGATTTTTGTTTGAGAATAGAATCATTTTTTAATTTTTCACTATCAGATGAATTTAATTTTCTTTTCGAAGATTTCGATGTCTCTGTATCTTGATTCAATTCTTGATAATGAGAAGCAATGTATTGACTGTACAATGAATGTGTCACTTGTACGCCATCGGATCTAAATACCGGAAAATTAGGATCAGTTATTGTATTGTAATATCGTTTATTTGTTTTTCTTCGCGATTTGTAATCATCTGATTCCCATAAATCTTGATTTGTATCATGTTTAATGTCAGTTAAACTTAAACATTTTTTATTATTACTATCGTCAAATTTAATAAATCTATCACTTGATGGGGCATTTTTTAATTTATTTAATTTTTTACATAAAAGGGCTTCCTTCACAATATCGGGAATGTCATTGCAGTCTTTTTTTCGTTCATCGGATTTATTGACAATTTCCGTCCACATTTCTGGTTCGTCTGTGGTGCTACATATTGAAACAGCAGTTCCATGTAAAACACGTTGAACATCTTTAAGTGGTGTACAACAAACGCTTGGCGTTATGGGAATTTGTTGCTGTTGCTTTATACTTTCTTCTTTTTGGTTAACTGGAGAAGTTTCAGATTGAAATTTAAAGAAAGAATTATCATTTATTGAATCAAGTTCACCCTCTTCTGGTACAGTGAAAATACGTGAAATATCTCGTTTTAAAACAAGCGGTTGATCTTTGGAATTATTCTTGAAATTCTAAAAGTCATTTTTAATTTAAAATAATTTATTTATTTATATAATTTGAAGAATTCAAAGAAAATTTGTTATTTTAATAAATATATTACCTTCTTATTATGCAGTACTTTTTTAATAGAAGCTGCCAAATGAGAACTGTAACTTCTCTCGAGATTTGCATTATGAATCATTTTTCTAATTTGACTTTGCTCAATGTAAACGTACAAAAGTTGTACTCCAACAGGTAAATGATACATGGTAGATATTCTCTCAGCTGGAGCCTATAGAGAAATTAATTAATTAATAAATAGCTAATAATAATTATTATTTAATTAATATCGCTTCGCATTCCTTAGTTAGTAAATAAAAAGTAGCAAAATGTAAACGTGCAAAAAAATATTTTTGCATTTACAAGAACAAAATAATATTCAAAACATTTCGTTTTTTATAGTATTTTTTTAGTTTTATATTGACTTTAAATTATTAAAACATTAAATTAGTTTTTAAATTTTCACAATAAATAATAAAATTTTACATTTGAAAGAATTATTCAATAAATGTTGATAATAAAATATTTAATTACATATAAATATAAAAAGATTAAATAAAATTAACATAAATAATACCTAACAATAATAATTATAAATATACATTTTTCATTTCTTTATTATTCAAGTATTTATTTACTATTTATTATTCAATTTAAAAAAAGTAAAAAAAAATTTTTTTAAATACCGAAGAGTTTACGAGGAAAAATCAAGAAAAAAAAGAAATTTTAGGAAAAAATTTAAAAAGAATTAATCTCGTGAAAATTTTACAGAACTTGAAAGAAAATAGAAAATTTAAGAAAATGGAGTGTTAAAGAGAAAATTTGAAATAAAAATCAAAAATTTTAGAAATCTCCAAAAAAAGGAAAGAATTTACAAGAAAAATTGTAAATTTTGGACTAATTGGTATTAAAATTTTCTAAATAATTAAAGAAAAATTCTAAAAAAAAAGACTGGGAGAAACTATGGTTTAAAAAACGATTTTTATTTATAAAAGGAAATTAAACAAATTTAAGAAAACAAATTGTCGAAGAAATTTAAGAAAAAGTAGAGAATTTTAGGAAATTAAATCAAAAAAATGAGAAATTCTCAGAATAAAAGAAAAATTTTCAGGAAAAATCAAAATTTTAAAAATTCATAAATTAAAATGGAAAATTGCAAATCAAATCAATTCTAACAAATTTATTTTAGAGCTCATTCAAGCGTTAAGGCTTTATAGTAATCATAAATAATAATTTAGGGGCAATAGGGGACTGAAAATTTAAAAATAGGGGAAAAAATTTCAAAAATTTATCAAATTTTATAAAGCATTTTACTTCAAAATCTATCAAATAAAAGTCGTTTTAGTCAATTTACATGGAAAAAAAGTTGATTTTTTTATTTTTAATAAATTCAATTAGTTAACAAATATTTTATTATCAGAAATTAAATAAATTATATTTATTTCTTAATAAAAATGTTTCATAGAAATATTTTCAAACATTTTTATTAAGAATAAAATTTAAAACTGAATTCAGACAAATTTTCAAGATTTCAATTGAATAGAAAAAATTTTTGAAAACATTTTTTTAGTTACTTTTTTTTAAAGAAAATTTATGTCTAATTTATAAAAATTATTTGAATTCAGAAGTTCGGGAAATACTTCAAATAGTAATGGAATATTAGAAAAATTTTAATTAAGAAATGTTTTGAATAGCTGAACAATTGAAAAGCTAGATTAGTTTTTAGAAATATAATTCAACAAATAAATTGAAAATAATTGAAATTATTGTAAATTTGAATTATTGAAAATTATTAACAAAATTTTAAATAATAATTGAATTTTAGTGAATTTTAAATTAAAAACTGTTTCAAATAATATAATTACTGAAAAAAAATTAATAAAAGTTATTGAAATAATTAATTTACCAAAAAATAACTTTAGAAAAATTAATAATATTAAAATTAACATTGAAGTATAATAATTACCTTAATTCGATAAGGATCCGTTATGACCAACTGTTTAGTAATTTCCGCACTTAACTGAGATGCTACGACTCTGAAATTTAAATAAAAATTATAAACATTAATAACTTTTATTTAAAAAATTTCTTTTATTATACTACCCTTGTATAATTAAAATTTTGCAGCTACTTAAAATTTTCATTGAAAGATTTTTAATTAAAAATTACGTTTTATTTAAAGGAGACCGATAAATTAAAAAATAATTCATTTTAATATTAGAAGATAATCTCCTCAATAATGGGAGAAAATAATAATTTATGAACGTTTAAAAATTATATTGTTTCACTGTATGTAAATTTAAAAAAAAACTCACTTATTATTGTAAAAAAGAGCTCCACCCATAATACCATTTATTTCTTGACAATTTTGTAAAATTTGAATTGCTTCTAAAAAAACATGACTTGCACTCTGTAGAAAAAGAAAAATATTTACATTTCTTTTAATTGGAAAATTAAAAATTATAACAATGTTAAGATTACGAACCCTTGGTAATTTTAAAGATGGATTACTGGAAAATAAACTTGAACTATATTGTAATATAGGCAAATATGTTTCAAACATTTGATATAATTTTTCGGTAAATTTATTTTTGTCATTATTAAGTGAAGTTGATATTGTTTCAATGTCGCAGTGAAAAAATTTTAATAATGATTCCAAAGTGCTTGCTCGCCTTTGTAAAATCCAATCTTGTATATTTCTATCTGTACCTACTGCCTAAAATAGAAAACAAAAAATTATTATAAATTATATAAAAAAAATTTATTAATTTAAATATTAAAAATAAAGTTAATTTTCTATTTTATTATTAATAGACAATAAAAATTAATTTCTTAATCGATTCTATGTAAAAACTTACGAGAACGTATTGGCCTAATTTTTTTAAAACAAATTTTCCACCTCGCAGTGAAATTAGAGATGGTGAAGAAAATGATGACATTAAAAATTGATTAACACCCATTAATTGACCTGCCAAAAGTAATTTTTGTGACGGTGAAACCCATGATGGATGAAAATACATAACAGATTCAGCGGGATCATCGTCCTCATTTTTACATTTTGCTGTATTATAAACAAATACTATCATCATTTCCCTAATTGGAAAAAAATACGAAAATTTTAATAATAATACAATTAATAATATTAAATTAAATATTATTAAAATACTAAAAATTACAATTTTAAATACCATAAATAAATATATTTTGTTTAATTTATTATATAAATTATTACTGTTAAATTTTTTTTTATTTCACTTAAAAACGACATAATTGAATTTTATTAATTTTAATATTTTAATAAATAAATAATCTACAAATCTCCAAATTTGACATAAGAAAAAAAGAATAAGAAAAAAAAATTATTAACTAATTGTAAAAAGATTAGATAAAATTAACATAAACTTATAAATTTTTGTTTAAATAAAATTCACACGAGAATATAAAAATAAAAAATTAAATTAAAAAACAATTTGAAGAAACGTAATTTAAGTAAAATAATTTAATAATTTTTTTAAAGATAATATGAATTATTAAATAATAATTTAATTACATTTTTATTTTAATTTAAACGAATAATCATAATGTGAATCAAATTGAAAAGTAAAATTACAAAATTACTAATTAAGACAAAAGTGCTATAATTAATTGGTGTTATTTAATTTCAATTGTAGAAGTAAATAAAATTTTATATTATTAACTTCATTTTATAGATACAATAAAATAAACAGAACTTCCTTTTTTTAATTAAATTTAATTTATAATAAATTAAAGGAAATTTAAATAAAGTGTAAAATAAAATTGAAAATAAATTTCGGAAAATCTACAATATTTTTATTGGACTTTTGAACTTTTGGAAATTCAAAATTTTAACATTTCAAACTTTTGGAAATTTAAACTTTTAACAATTAATTAAAACTCTTGAAAATGTATGAAATAAAAGGTAAATTATAATTAATTAAATGCTATTGAAATATTATTTAATTTTAAACTATTTTATTAAATTTAAATTTCTATTAACAAATTGAAATATCAAGAAAAGAAAAAAAAATTTAATAATTTAAAATAATTTAAATATCAAATGAAAAGTACATAGAATTTATTTCAATTTAATTTCATATGAAAAAAATTACTCGTTTTTTTCATAATAATAAATTAAATTCACATTTTTTGAATTTTTCTTTATTAAAAAGTAAATTTTAATTATTTTTACTAAAATAAATTAATACAATAAAATAAAAATAAATAAAATTTAAGATACAATAAAAAGAAAATTACAAAAGAAAATTAAAATATAAAACGAAATTAAATTATTTGTTTAAAAAATTCATTACGATTTAAGACGTAAAAAATTCTTATATTTAATAAATAATGTCAAAAAAATATATAAACTGAAATATAAATATGTAAAAAGCGAAATAAAAAATTATATTCTTATATTTTTTCTAAAAATTTGTTTTTTTTATTGTATTTATTTACATATTGTAAAATTATGCACATGCCAGTCTACACATGTTTAATAATAATATTTTATCTTACAATTTTACAGAAAAAAAAATTGTGTAATTAAAAATTTACATCTTTTTTTTTTAAATTCATTGCATGCACATAATTATTTTAAAATAAAAATACTTTATAAATTATTAAACTACTCAGAATTCTACATTTTTGTCTAAATAAAAAAAGAAATTGTTTTATAAAAACATAAAATTTTACAATAATTGATTTTAAAATTTTCATACTTTGCCATGTTGAATATTTACAATCTGCTGCTTTATATAAATCACAAAAATTGTATTCTTTACTGTTTTCAATGCATTATTGTTTTGAATCAACAATAAACAATATTAAAAATAAATTATTCCATATTTAACTAAGCCTTTCTTGGTTAATTATGGTTTTCCTCATATGTATATAAAAACAAAAATTTTATCATAAAGTTAGAAGATTCGAAATGTGAAATTATTGAGTGACATAATTAGGGTGATTTCACAACAGTATGATTCAAATTGAATGCGCGCGCATGCTTTATCGTTAAAAAAAGATTAATTGGTATAATAATTTATTAATATAATTGATAGAATTGCAAAATAAATTCATATATAAATTCCATGAATTGAAATTATATAATTGAAATAATACATGATTTTCACGATATTTTATGTATAAAGCCGTTACATGATGTAAAAGTGTCGGCGGAAAAAAATCATAAGAATGAAAGAGACAAAAAGATATCACTATCTCTGTCACTCTCATGTTTGACGTTTTTCGCCGACGTTAAAGCCGAATAGATTCCTTGTATGTCCATTGTCAAAGCACCTTTATATCATCCCTTATCACATCTATTTGCCGTACATATAGCCACATAGTTCATGGCCATGAACAGGCCATCACATTCAGAGCGTCTAAATTGACGTTTGTTTGAGTTTTATGCATACAAGTTTGTCAGTTATTAAAGTGTCTTTTTCTACTATTTTTTTTTAAACGCGTAATTCGTAATTTTTTTTTTAAATGTTCTAATATTTTTAAGTTAAATCTTTGAACTACTGTGCAGTTATACGTATGGATTTTATAAAAAAAAAAAAAAAAAATGTAAAAATCTATTCGAGTGTAAATAGAGGTTAGGAATATCAACGTAATTTCTGAATACTTAATTATTTCTATGTATTATTAATAATTGTCGGTTTATATTACATATCAATATATATACTTATTAATAATATCACATTGCTGCAGGTAAGTTTTATTTTTTCTCCAATAACATTTTTTTTAAAGTATATAATTTTACATGTACGCGTATGTGTCATATATATTAATGTACAAATGATTGCAAACAAAACAGCAGGTTTTTATTGATCAAAATAATGTGTTTTATTATTATTTCAGCAAATGCATTGCTTTAAAAATACTATTTATAAATTTTTTACAATCGAAGGATATTGATATTTTATTTATAAACGAACATTTGAAATATATTTTTTTTTTTACTTTTTAAATTTCACGTGAATAACTATGTTTTTTTTGTTGTTAGAAAGACTGATATAATTTTTTAAGATTTTAAAAGTTGTAAGCGACTGACCGACACAAAAATTTATCTTTTCTAATTTTTCATTTTTTTTTTATATTTTTGTAATTTTTCTATTAATTTAAATTGTTTAACTTTTTTTATTTGTTGTAAAATTCGTTTTTATTGCTGTAATATTTATCTAAGAAACAGTTCAACATTTTTTGTGAATACTTTCTTAGTTTCCACAGTTTTTACTTGATTTTTGCGAAATCAAAGGTTTTAGCTTTTTATTGTTTTTTTTTTTAAATTGAACATAATTTAAATATAAAACTACGAAATGGAACCAACTTTTAAAAGTTAGGCAGAAATTTTAAAAAATACTGAAACAAATTTTTTTTAGCAAATATTTTCAATACGGTTTTTTTCGATTTAAAATACATTCTAATAAATAAAAAATATAAATTATTCGAATTGAAATAAATCGATTGACCTACATAAAGTAAGATATATATTTCATTAAAAATTGTAAATTAAATCGTTATTTTTCCTTTTTGAAAAATTTTCATTTTCTATCTTAACTCAGGCCTGGGATTATACGAATTTTTCAACTTTTTCAGATTTTTTTTCAAATAATTAAAAAAAAAAAAATTTAACAAATAAAATTACCAAAAAATTTTAGTTCGAAATCACTTAAAATTTAATTATTTGCAAAAATTTCAATTATTTTTAATGATTTTTATAACATTCTTCGAAAATTCAATTATTTGAAAGCATTTTTCAATCTAAATTGTAAATATTTGAAAATTCAATTACTTTTAAAAAAATGTTATCTAAAATTATTCGATAAATTATTTTTAGTTATGTAAAATTTAATTATTGTCTGAAAATTAATAAAATCTTTTGTTTATGTATTGCCTGAAATTTTGTTGACTATCAAAACTAAAAACTATGACAAAATTTTAAATTTGAATAAATTGCTTAAATCAAAAGGTGATAATTTTTCACAAGATTCATCAAAAAGATTAAAATCCACAAAATCAACCACTAAACGTAATGTACCTGAATTGGTATTTAAAAAAATTGGCGCTGAACATTTTTTATGTCACACGCCAAGAATTAAGATTTTTAGAATTTATTGAATTTTAGATTATAATTTGTAATTTTTTGTAAATTTTCCTAGCTCCAGAATTTAAATTTAAATTTAAACAATTAAATTCTAAAGAATTTTGAATTTAAATGAATTTTTAACTAAAATTCTTTTCTAAATTAATTATTTTTAATAATTTTAATGAAATTTCTCACAAATTCAATTCTTTGAAACTTTTATATTCAATTCTTTCAATTAAAAATTTTCTAAAGTTCAATAAATTATTGACAATTAAAAAAAAAAATCAAATCTAATTACCAAAAATTTCAATTTAAAATCTTTTAAAATTTTCCATCGAAAACTTTTTGAAATTTAATAATTTCAATTCTAATTCTTCAGAAATTCAATTATTTTTTAATGATTTTTATAATATTCTTCAAAAATTCAATTAACTGAAAGCATTTTTCAATTTAAAAAAACGTTTGAAATTCAATTTTTGTAATAAATTCAATTTATGTAATAAATAAATAATAAGTTTAATAAATTCTTTTGTAACAAAAATAACCGAAAATTCGAAACAAAAATCTTCTAAAGTTCAATTACTTTTAAAAATTTGATTTGTAAATCTTCGAAACATCAATTATTTGCAAAATTAGAATTGTAATTTGTCGAAAACTTATTTGTTTAAAAAATCTCCATGAAAATTAGGCAAAAATTCAATTATTTTTCACAATTTCAATTTAAATCTATCAAAAACATAAAAAAAAAATTTCAATAAAAATCAGGCAAAAATTTGAATATTTTCAATATAAAAATATCAATTCAATAATTGTTTAAAATAAAAAAAAAATTATCAATTAAAATTACAAAAATTTTCAATTCAAAATCACTTGAAATTGAATTATTTTCAAAAATTTCATTTAAAATCTTTTAAAATTTAATTATTTCTAAAACATTTCCATCTAATTTCATCTAAATTTAATTTTGTAAAATTTAATTAATGCCTGAAATTTAAAAAATTATTTTGAAATTCAATTATTTTTTCAAAAATTCAATTATTAAAAAAAGTTTTAAATAAAAACTCTAAAATTGATTAATTATTTAAAAAAAAAGAATTTAAAAATCTGTAAAACTTAATGATTGTCCGAAATTTGATCATCAAAACTAAAAACTATGACAAAATTTTAAATTTGATAAATTGCTTAAATCAGAATTGAAAAAATTATAAAACTGGAACTTTAAGAATTTTTTTTAGAAATTTGTCCTACTTAAATAAAATTTTGCAAATTTGTCTTATAATTAGTTCGATTCTGAAATATTCGAAATAAATTTTCTTGATAATATTTTTATAGAATTATTCTCATTACAGAATTAATAAAATGAATTTAATATCTAAGAACATTAATTATTTAAAGTAAAATATTCATTAACCAATTAAATTTTGTTAAAATAAAAAAAATCAACTTTTTTTGAAATATAAATCGACTAAAACGATTTTTTTTGTGTCTTAAAGTCGATCCGAGGCCTGGGATTATTGAATTTTAATCATAATAAAAAATGTAAAAATATAAATTAAATAGAAACGATTTAAAAGAAAATTATAGTACCTAATACTTTTTTCTTAGAAAAAGAGAAAAAAAAATTCTAAATGAAAATTTTCCTTACCAACGTTTTTTTTTAATTCATTTTTTCTAATATGTATTTACTTTTTCCTAAAAATATTTATCCCATTAAAATTATTAATCAGAATTTTCATTTTAAAGTATTTTATCAAAATTTGATTAGAATTTTTAAAAATGACAAATTCCAATTCACCGAATTAAAAATTTGTCTGAATTTTTAATTGATGGAATTTTAAAGTTACCGAATTTTCATTTGTCCGAAATTACAATTAGCCGAACAAACAATCAACAGAAAGATTTCGGCGCAATTTTTCAAAATTAACCAATCACGATTTCTAATATTTCAAATTGGTCAATTTTCCAAAATTTGCGTCGAAATCTTTCTGTCGATTGTTTGTTCGGACAATTTTAATTTCGGACAACTTAAAGTTAAAATTTCCGTTATTTAAAAATTTAAATCAAATAAAATTCGAATGAATAAGAATTATGTTAAATTAAAAATTCGATTAAATTAAAGTTCTTTTAAATAAAAAATCATATTAAGAAAATAAAAATAAAAAATTCTACTAAACAAAATTCGATAGCTACAAATTTTAAGTAAAAATTCGTATAAAAAGAAAATCTAAGAAATTTTAATTTGAAAATTGAAAATTCGTCTAACAAATCCATTTCTAATAAAATAATCGAATAAATTTTTATTTTAAAAAATCATAGAAAATTTTAATTAATGATTTTTATCCCATTTTCCCCTTTTCTAACAAAAAATAATTAAAATTATAATTAATTTTGATTAGATGTTTTTTTAAATGGAAATTTTATTGTTAATAAAAATTTTTTCTTTTACTAAATTTTATATCAGTGTTGAAGAACTGTAATTAAATTTTTAAATAATATTATTAATTTCAGAAGTATGGATTATTTATCATTAATATTCCAATAAAATTGGAAATATTAAAAATCAATAATGATCGAAGGAAATGAGGTGTATGGAAGAATAGAATGAAGAATTGTCAATGTATCGATGATCATAATCATAAAAAGCAACATGTATCCAATAATTCAGATGATAGTGGAGATAAAATTAAGACATCTATAAATGTAAGAATTATTCTTTGGTTAATTAATTTTTTTTTTTAATTAGAAAAAATAAGTAATTTTCTATTTTATTATAGTCAGAAGTTGAAAAAATTTCTCAAAATGAAAAAGGATGGCATAAAAATCAAAATAAATTAATAACGGAATTGGATTCACGAAATGAAACAGAGAGAGGGGAAAATTTAAAAATTTCATTAGATCACGTTAAACCTTATCCATTTACATTTATAACGGCAGTAAAAAGAAAATTTGCCTTAGGTGAACAATCAATGAGTAGTGATATTTGTAAAAAAATTCGTGAACAAAAAATTTCCAATGAATCATCAACAACTAAACGACAAATTTCAAATTGTCAATTGGCAGAAAAAATGGATTTCATAAAACCATTAAAAGTACCCGATTTAAAAATTTCACCAAAAACAATTGATTATCCACAAAGAGAAAGTTCATCATTAAGTGAAGTTTCATCGGTGAAAAAATTTAATATGATTTCAAAAGATAATATACAAAAGGAAGTTAAATTATTAAAATCATCCGATCGTGTTCAACGTAAATTAGATTTCTCATCATCAGATGCATCATTATTACAAATTGATAATGATGACGACAATGATCCAACGGACGTGTCAGTTTTAAGTTTAATAAAGAAAAAAGATCGTGATCATTCGCGAGATAAAGAAAATAGATCGAAAAGAATTAAAAAAGATGATTCAAGTTGTTCATCAAAAGGTGATAATTTTTCACAAGATTCATCAAAAAGATTAAAATCCACAAAATCAACAACTAAACGTGATGTACCTGAATTGGTATTTAAAAAAATTGGCGCTGAACATTTTTTATGTCACACGCCAAGAGTTAGTGATTTTGGAATGAAAAAATCGCGAAATAAACATTTTACAACGTCAACATTGAAAAAAGACGATGAGAAAAAATATCGTTGCTCAAATATTCAATATTCTAAATCATTAAAGGACAAATCATTGAAATTAAAAGGCCGATTTATTAATAGTGAATCAATTAGTTTATCCGAAAGAAGCGCTAAATTACAAGATAGAATTTCAACAAAAGAATCATATAGCGATACATTTACAGAATCAGACGATTGGAAAAGTAAAGAGGAAAATAATTTACATGAGGATGATCAAAATAAATTATCCGATAATAGACATTCCAAATCGAAAATTTATAATAATCGTGATATTGAATGTAAGGAACAAATAAAGAGAATTAAACATAAATACAGTAATAGTAAAATTGATTCATATAGTCTTTCAACATCAGATATTTTAGAGGAAGTTGAAACTGCTTCCGATTCAAATGTTAGTTATCCAAAAAAGGAAAAAAGTGAATCGTGTGAAACATTTTCTCAAGCAACAAAAATTAAGGATAAAGTACCATTGCAAAATTTAATTCAAACAAATGAATCACGTGTTTCGGAAGTGGAATTTTTTAATCCGCAAAATAGTGTTAAAAATGATAATTCATCGCTCAATAATAATAATAATAATAATGTTAATAATAGTATGACAAATGATGAAATAAATACAGAATCACAAATATCAATGGATACATCATTGTCGGAAATGCTTCTTGATCCTAGAAAAATTTCCTTTAGGGATAATAGTTATTCACAGCAAAATGAATTTTCCGATTTAGTTACTCCCGATATGAATTTAATGTTACGATCAAACAGAAGGAGACGACAATTTTTGCAAAGTAATAAGGAATCGCCACAGAAAAATGTGAAAAATAAACAAACGATGATAATGGAAACTGAGGAAAAAAGCAGTCAATCGGTAAATATTTATATTTTTTATATTATTATAAACTTACTTTTTTTTAAGGAAAAAGGAAGATAAAAGAAAATTATATATTTTTCTTGTTGCTAATATAAAAAAAGAAATTGTGAATTATTTGAATTTTTAAAACTTTAACACAAGCTTTAAATTAACGAAATTTTAATCCATTTAAAGATGAATTTTAAATTTCTTATCCGAATTTTAATTTATCAAAATTTTAATTGATTTACATTTCAAATTATCCGAATTTCAATTTAACCAAATTTGGATTAATTTAAGTTTCAATTTATCAAAATTTACCTGAATTTTAAACTATTAATGCTTCAATCATTGATCGAAAATTTTAATTAACAGACTTTGGATTATACTTATTCCAATTTTTTTTATTTTTTTAAATACGACTTTTTTCTATTTATTTTATTAAAATGTGACTTTTGATTGCTTTAACATTTTTAAATAAAAAAAAACATGCGCCTTTTTTATTATACAGTGCAGCTATTTAAAAATTCAATTACTTAATAAATTTTTAACTAAAATTCTTCGATAAATTAATTACTTTCAATAATTTCAAATCAATTTAAAAAATTTATCAAAAATTCTATTATCTGAAAATATTTTCCAATTAAATATTTTTAAAAATTCAATAACTGGTTGAAATTTCTAAAAAATTTCATCCAATAATTTTAAGTTCTTCAAAAAATCAATTTTTCAAACCAAAAAAAAACAAAAATTTAATTATTCGCCAGAAATTTAAAAAAATCTTCAGGAATTAAAATTTTCAACAATTTTAATTTAAAATATTTTGAAATTCAATTACTTCTAAGAATTTTAGTTAGAAACCTACTAAAATTTAATTATTTCTAAAAATTTTAATCATAACTCATCATCAATTATTTTTTAAAAAAATTTATCTTAAATAGTTAAATTATTATCAACCAATAATTTTCACTAAATTCTTCGAAAATTGAATAAATTGAAATATTTTAAACAAAAAATTTCGTAAAAATTGAATTACTTTTTATAATTTAAAAATATCTTAAATTAAAAATTTCCAATTTAAAATCATGAAATTCAATTATTTATAAAAATTTCAACTGTATCATAATCAAAATTATAATTAATTTAAGTTTCATATTATTCGAGTTTTAATTACTTAAAATTCAAATTATCAGAATTTCAATTAAACCAAATTTTTTATTTTTTGAAGTTTCAAATTAACCGAGTTTCAATTTTTCCAAATTTTAATTGACTTGGAATTAAAATAATAAAAATATTAATTGATTGAAGTTTCAAATTATACGAATTTTAATTGATTTAAGTTTCAAATTAACCAAGTTTCAATTTGTCCAAATTTTAATTGACTTAAAATTAAAGTTATCACAAAATTAATTGATTAAAATTTCAAATTATACGAATTTTAATTGATTAATGTTTCAAATTATCCAAATTTTAATTAACCCAAATTTTGATTAATTAATCAAAATTTAATTTATTAAAGATTTAATTTAATGAAACTTTAAATTATTAATATTTCAATCATTGATTAAAAATTTCAATTAATTCAAATTTGAATTGATAAAAAATTAGTTATTTTTCACGTTGATTAGTTTTAAATATCAGTTTTTTATTTATTTTTTTTTTCATTAACTTTTTCTCACCTTTTTTTTTGTTAATAATTAACCTTTTTACTTATTTTCAAGAAAAAAGGAAATTGAATCCTTGTTCTAGTGAAAAGACTGAAGACGGATTTTCTAATTTCAAATTATTAGATTGGTATTATAATTCATGAAATTCAATAAAATTTAATATTTTTTAATTTCAGGAAAATTTGAGAAAATTTGTAAAATTTATTCTTGAAGCAACCGGGATTTTTTTTTGTTAAATAAAAAATATGTTGTAAAAGCGAAAACATTTATTTGATTTAGTATATAATGGTATTATTTACCAAAATAAAAAAATTAAAGACTACATAGAGTTGAATTAGTTTTTGATCTGATTTTTTTTAAATAATGAAATTTTGACCTACTATTGACTAACCAAGAAAATATTTTTTTTAGTTACATCCTGCAGTTTTGAAAATGAAATTTCAAGCAGAAGAAAGACATCTTAATAGTTTTAGTGAATCTGTACGTCAAGCTACTTATGAAAGTAATCTTTATAATAATTCAAGTTGTGAAGACGGAATGCAGAGTGAAGAAACAGTTAATAATGAGATTAGAAAGCAATTAGTTGCCCTGCGAAGTGAAGCAAATGAAGAAATTAATAAAGAGGAAAATCGTTCACTTACTAAAGGTATGTTTATTGTTTTCTTAATTTAACAATACATTAGTTTTAATAATCCAACTTTCATTACACGAATGTAATTAAAAATTGTTATAACCAAAAGTGAGGCGCAAAAATATCCTTTCAAATTCATTAGTTATTTAGACAGAATTTCAAACAAAATTTATTTGTTATTCTTTTGTCTCTGAAAAAATGATACTCTGCGCCATTAACGAAAAGATAGAAAATAATTTAATTATAACATTTTTCAGCTCTTCACGATGCGGATATTTGCTTTGTAAATAAAACGCCAACAAAAGGATCCACGTTATTGAAAAAGACCCTTGAGGAAAATATACATGGACAGGAATTATTAACAAAAAATTTAACTGACAAATTGGACACTAATAATATTGATAATAAACTTAAATTAATTGTAAAAATGGCAGAAGTTCAAACACAAACGGCAAATGATATTGCAACACAGACAGATATTAATTTCTATCAATCGAGAATGTTGAAAAAACTTGAAGAATTATCAGGTATTACTTATGAAAGAGGAGCAATAAATTCAAGGGATATTCCACAATTTTCATTAGAATCATTAGATCAAGATAAAGATTTTGGTCAATTAGATGATATTTCATTAGCGAGTAGAATGAAAGCAATGTCAGAAATAAGTTTACATGAAACAACATCATCCATTAAGACTGAAAGCGGTACTGAAATTAGTATATCAACTAGAGATGTAACATGTTCATTTAATAAAGATTTAGCGCTTGAGGTGAGTACAAATTATATTATTATGCGTACCAAAATAATTTAGTTTTATTAAAACGTTTGTAAATTAATAGTTTAGCATTTTGAATTTTTTTTTATTAAATTATATTATTTATTTGACTTTTTGTTAAAAATTTAGATGGCTCAACTTGTACAGGATGAAAAGCAAAGATATGATAAAATTCAAATGCTTTTTAAATCACATGAAAAAACACTTAATGATCGTACAAAAAAATTAGTTAAACTAGAAGAACAAAAACGACAATTGAGAGATACTGGTCAAGATAGTCGGATAAGTTCTGTTAAAAAGAAGCAGCGCGCTCTACTTTTGAAACTTCAACAAGAAAAAGATGAAATGAATAGGTAAGTCAAAATTATTATTTAAGAATTTATTTATTTCATTAATTTTTTTTTAAAATATTGAAGTCAAATAAAAGGATTGAAGCAATTTAAAAAAATGTTTAAATTAGATTTAAAATTTTATTTACGAAGAAAATTGCAAATTAAAAACTTTTTTCATTACAATAATCGAAAATAATAATAAATCCCTAAAAATTAATTTATTATTTTTTTTATTGTAGAATAAATATAGTTATAAGTTAATAAATCTTGAATTAAAGTCTATTTATTGAATTAAAATCAAAGTATTACATTTAAGTTTGAAATCCTTTTCTAAAATTTTTAAGAAAAAAATATAAAAACGATTATAAAAATTGTTCGAATTTTCAAATAAAAAAAAAATGAATCACTAATTCAACTTGCAATTTAAAATAATTTTTAGGTTAATTATAATTATGATAAGAATTGCGAGAGGAATAAGAGAAGATATGGATTATCTATTTGAATGATTATTGGAAATTTTTCTATCTTTTTCCTTTAAAACGATTGTTATCATGATTATACATAACCTAAAATATTTAAAAACTGCAAGTTGAAAATATCGATGTTTTCGATATGAAATAAATATTATTCCATTTACTTTTTTGCAAAATCTATTTTACAATTTTTTGCAAATTTTATCTCAACCTTTTGGAAATTTTCATTTTTAAAATTCTCATCTATTTTCGAAATTGTGTTCTGCGGTATGTTATTTTTGTTGTTTTACATATATTTTTTTTATATTTATCGTTTTATATATTTTATAGAAGTTAAAATTGAAAAAAAATTAATATTTACAAATTTAGTTGTTGATACGACATTATGTCAATTTTGTTTATAACAAATAATAAAAAAAAAATGTTATTTAAAAACAATTCAATTTAAAAATCCTAATTAAGTTACAAAATATTTAAATTAAACCTACAATAAATCATTTTTTGTTTAATTGAATTTTTAAAAATTGTTTAAAAATTTATTATTAATTAAAAATAAAAGAAAAGAAAACATTAAAATTCCAAATTGTTTAGAAAAATAATTTAATAATTTAATAAATAAATTTTTTATCTTTCAATTTAGAAACAGTTTTCTTGAAACTTTTTGTACTTTAATTAACAAAAATTATATTCAAAATATCAATTTTCATTAGTTTTAATTTTGTGAAATTGTCTAGAAAATTATTTTCATATACGAGATTTTTTTTTTGAATGTTTTCTATTTTTTTTCAAAGACTAAAGGAACTACATAAGATAGCAAGTCAAGAACGAAAGCTCATGTTACAAAAACATAGAGATATGTTTAATCCTGAAATGTCGACAAAAAATATTTTAACAAAACTCAAGAGAAGTGCAGACTGTCAATCACCACGACGTTTATCAGGACCAATGAAGGGTTATGATATTCGTAGTAATAGTTCAATGAGCTCATTAGTTGATTCTGATAAATCGCAATTAGATCGATCACAACTTAAAACATGCGATACTAGTTTTCAAAAAAGTAGTAAACAATTTTTTAAAGTTGATGTTCACAATGTTGCGGCTGAGGTAAATTTCTTTCAAATTTTCTTATATTTATTTCATTAATAAATTCTTTTAAATTATTATTATTAAATTTATTAAAATTAATACAAAATTATTATAAAATGGGACCACAAAAAAGTTGTTATAATTTTCACATTTTGAAATAATATAAAATTTAAATTTATTAGAATTTTATAAAGAAAACTTTACGTTGATATAATATTCAGTTTTATTTATAAAATTTTAATAAATTGAATTTATTTTTCAAAATCGACGCTGTGAAAATTATTAACATCTTTCTTGTGGGCGTAAAAAATTATAAAAAATTAATTTAATTTTCAGAAATCCGATAGCGATCATTTGGAGAATATTAATATTAAGAATGACGATAATTTATCAAATATCTGTAGAATAAAACCAGTGAAAAATACAAAATATGATATTAAATCACGAAAATTTGAAGAGAAAATGCCTGGTGGTGATGTATTACGTCAAATAGAATTACATTCGAAATTAAAACGTGATTCTCTTTGTGAATTACCTGAATCAAGTAAAGAAAGTGAAAATCTTTGTTTATCATCGACAAATTCGCCAAAATCAATTTGCATCGATGAAAGAGGTGAATCTGATGAAAAATTAACAAGAAAAACAAAAACATTAAATTCAGATAAATCACAACAAATAACAACAAATTCTGAATCTGATATTGATGAGAGAACAAATGAATTTTTACAAATTAATTCGATAATTTCGAAAAAAATTGAAAAAAATGTGAAAAAAATTGAAAATATTTCCGATTGTAAAACAAATTCTAAACGTAAAGGTTATAAAAGTCAAAAGACAAAAGTTGCAAACAATGAATTATTGGAAAGTGTATTAAAATCAAAAAGTGATTCACAAATTTGTCAACATTTATCGGGACATCATAATAAACGTTCTAAATTAGATATTGAACAATCGGATGATAATTATGATAATTCAATATTGGAAAAATTCGATTTTAGCGAGAGTCAAAATTCATTGCATGCATTATTGAAACATTCAAAAGCAGTGAATGAGAAAAATTATCAACTTTTGAGAGATATTACCAGCGATTCAGAGGATAGAGGTAATAATATTGAAAATTTTGATGCTCTCGATAAGAAGAATAGTGAAAAATCGAAAAATTTTTCACAAAAAGAACAAGTTGGTTCAAATATGGGTAATTTGTCAACAAGATCACAAGTCAGTACATTGACAATTTCTCGTCATAGCTCAGGTGATAGTGAAAAAAGTTATTCGAGATCTGTTGTTATTCGTTCACATGATCATCGTTTTAAGACATCAAAAAAACTTGAGCAGTGAGTATATTATTTATTTTGCTTTTCTTTTATTATAAATTTTTTTTCTTTCATTTATTTTCTCAATTTTTCTTTATTGCTTCTTTATTTATACAGAATTGTACTTTTTCTACTATTTTTCGACTTTTTCGACTTATTTTACAAATTAATTAATTTAATAAATTAAAAAAAATATTCGTAAAAAGTAACAAAAAAATTGTAAGTTCTGAAAAATTGTAAACTTTTTTAGGGCGCATAATTATCGTATAAAAATTTAACCGAATTTCTATATTAAAGAATTGTTACTTAAAAGAATTTTTATTTCAACGAATTTGCATTTAATACAATTATTATTTACTTCAATTTTCAATAAACAAAATAGCCATTTAAAAGAATTTTTATTTTAAAGAAAGAATATTGAAAATTATTTTTTTTTTTTCTAGCCGAATTTTCATTTGTTTAAATTTACATTTTACAGACTTTTAAAAACGCCGAATTTTTCTATGTTACAGAATTTTCATTTGGCAGAAAAATTTTGGCGCAAATTTTAAAATTAACCAATCAGAAGTTATCAACGAAATTGTGATTGGTTTATTTTAAAATTCGCGCCGAAATCTTTCTGTTGATTTGTTTGTTCATTTGCAATTTCGGATAAATGAAAATTCGGCCTTTTTAAGAATTTTGTAAAATGTAAATTCGAACAAATAAAATTTCGAATAGAAAAGAATTTATTTCTATTATTCTTTCTGAAAAAAAACAAAAATTCTTATAAATGACTATTTTGTTTATTGAAAATTGAAGTAAATAATAATTCTGTCAAATTCAAAATTTGATGAAATAATTAGTCGCGTAAAATTAAAATTCGTTTAAGTTTAAAGTTTAAATTCGGCTAAAATGTAAATTATAGGTAATGAATTTCTGTAAATTGAAAATTATAAAAAATTAATTTTAGAGCTTGAATTTTTTGAAGATACAAAAAACTCGAAATTTTCCACAACAAAGAAGAAAGTAACTAAAAAATTTTCTAAATACAGAAAAACTAAAATTTTTTCTCTCAAAATAACTTTTCTGAGCTAAAAATAAGCAGTAAATTTCAGTTTTTCTGAATTTAGAAAATATTTTTAAGTTTTTTTTTTTGTATGTTAGTTATTTTTCTAATTTTTTTTTTAATTTTCAGTTCTACCGAAAAAAATAGTAGTAACCCAAATTCGGATAAATAAAAAATCGGAGAATTAAATTTTTTAGCCACTTTTCAACTAATTTCCTTTTCGTACTTGACGAAGTAGAAATTCTTTCCTTCACTTCTTGGAAGATTAAATTTTTTTGAACAAATAAAATTTCTCAATTTCAAAGAAATAAAATAAATTTAAACAAAAATTAAAAAATATAATAAACATAAAAATTTGTTAAATTAAACTTTCTTTCCCAGGCTTTAGATTTCTAATAATAGTCGCAAAACGTGTCTTCACCACGATGTGAGCCACTGTAAAAATAGAATCTGTGTAGTGGCTATCTGCATTTTATATAGTTTGTACTTAACTAAGAGATATTGTCAGTAAAAATAATGTCAATATTTTGATTCGTTTGTTTTTCGTTTTTTTTTTTTTTGGTCCCGCAAAATTAATTATTTGTATTTTGTGCGCGCAGTGATGTCATTAAGAAAAATAATTTTTTTTTGTTTTAAAGTCAATAATTTGATCAATTATATAACAATTATTTGAAAAAAATGAAAATTTTTCTAAAAAAATATGATAATGTTTGATTTCTTAGAATTTTAAATGCACGAGAAGCTGCACTCGCTTCGCGCAGAAGTTGCGTTGAAGAGTGGATCGCTTGGCATACTAGACTTCGTGAGGAAGAAAATCGCGTGGCTCGTATGGAACAAGCTGCCTATAAACTGGTTAATGCAACTTCAAAAGCACTTTTTTATCATGGTTCGTATTTTTCTTTTCTTTTGTGATTATTAATATCCCCTCGAACTTATTTAAAAATATTTCGTTCACGATAAAATTGCGTAAATTATGATTTAAATGCCAAAAAAAGAAAAGAATAAATAAATAAATTTTTACTGAAAATAATCAGTAAACAGTTTTCAAGGACCTTAATTTTAAACCAAAGATCACAAATTTAAGGTTTGAGTTTGAAGTGTATGAGTTTTACGATTATTTTCGACTTTAAAATAATGCGACATATTTCGACTTTTGTAGTATAAAATGCGATTAATCGATTCTTTTTAAATTCGAGTGGCATTTTTCTAGTTGAAATATATATTTGAAATGAAATAGCAAAAATCTTTAAAAGAGAGTTACCAAAAGTGTATTATTGTTGCATAATACTGAATATATATATTTTAATTAATTATTTGAAAACAATTTTTAATTATTTGAAGATAATTTCCATTATCTTATTCACTATTTCAAGAATAATTCTAATATTTTTATTCATTCTTTGGAAATAATTTCAGTTATTTAATTAAATATTTGAAGATAATTTCAATTATTTCATTGAATAATTGAAAATAATTTCAATTATTTAATTAAATATTTAAAAATATATTTAATAATTTAATCATTTGAAAATATCGACACATAATGAATACATTAATTGAAATTATGTTAAATATTTATAATGAAATAATTGAAAATATATTTCATTTTTAAAATGAATAATTGAAGATATTTTTAATTTTTGTAAATAAATACTTATAAATAATAAAATAAATTGCAATTAATAGATACTAGCGTTTCATCTGAGGCTAGCGATGTAGAAGGACGAATTGATGCTTTAGCACAAAAATTAGCAGATCGTCGTGCAGAAATGGCGAAATTAAAAAAAGAAGCCAAAAGACAAGCGAAACAGAGGCTTCGTGCTATGGAAGTCAGTTTACTTAATCAAATTAAGGTAAATTTACATCTTTTTTTTTTCTATATAATCGTTTTTTAATAATTATTTATTAATGTGTAATTATTTTTTTCAAAATAGAAATACGATGCAACAATTCACGATATGCGCAAGGCATTAGAAACAAAGAAAGAGATTATAAAAAATTGTGAAAAAATGCCAATTGAATCAAAATCAGTTTCTGATTTTAGAGTACCAAAAATTCCCATTCAAAAAATTCATGACATTTGTAAAAGTAGCGATTTATTGCCACAACAAGAAATTGAAGATAATGATAAAATTATTGCTCAAAATAGTAAATTACTGAGAAATCGTCAGGAAATTACGAAACAATCAAATTTTTCCACTAGTAATGAATTCGAAGAAACGGAAATGATCAAAGACACTACAAATAAATCTAATAGTGAATTTAATATTTTGACACAAACTCAAGAAAATAGTTCGAAAATATCAGAAAATTTATTTCAAGAAAATAGTTCGAAAATATCAGAAAATTTATATCAAAAAAATAGTTCAAAAATATCAGAAAATTTATATCAAGAAAATAATTCGAAAACATCAGATAATTTATTTCAAGAAAATAGTTCGGAAATAAAAAATATTTCACTGAATAAATCTGATACATTAAAATCAATTAATTCGGAAAAGGAAAAAATAATAACGGACAAATATTCGGATTCAATAACCCATTCTGTTGAAAATGATGATTTGCCAACAATTTCAACGGAAAATATTTCATTTTCAAAAAAATTAGATTCATTGGGTGCAAATGGAAAAAATTTAAACGATGATATCAGCGTTCTTGAGAGTGATCTTAAAACACTTTCCGAAATGATGCTTCAATTGAGTAATAAAAAATCGATTAATAAATCAATTAATAAAAATGAAAATATTTATAGTGACAAGAAGAAAATTTTGGAAAATTCCAAAACTTTCGAATCAAAAACTTCGTCTATACCATCGTTATTTGAAAAAATCAATGACGCTGACAGTATTAATGAAGTTGACGACATTGTTTCTAATGACGATGACAGTTATGACAAATTATCGAAAAATATTGATTTCAAAGCAAAAAGTAAAGAAATATTGAATGAAATTGAAAAATCAATAATTGGCGATCACATGAAAATTCATCAAACAGATAATTTACATGAGAATAAAATTTTATCCAACGATTTAGTTACATTAAAAGATGATACAATATCGGAAATTTTATCATTATCAAAAACTCCCACTGAAAGAAATAAAAGTCCTGAAAAAAGTGTCAGTGAAAATAGTGCCATTTACGATAATGATTTATCAAAATTATTATTGAATGAAAATACAAAAAATTCTTTAAAATTCCTTGAAAATAATGAATTTTTTAATGATAGAAAAAATTCCGAAAATTTGGAACTCGATTATCATGAAAATAGTATTACTGAAGAATATTCAGCGATAACGGAAGAAAATAAAATTTCATCTTCAGAAGAAATTCATGAAAAAGAATTATCAGATTCACTTGAATCTCGTGATAAAGAAAAAATAAATTCGGAAAATTCACAATTAATTGAATCAATATTGGAAAAAACAGAATCGGAAAAAGAAAATGAAAATTTAGAAAATTTAAATTCAGAAAAAGAAGAATTTAGCGACACTTTAAATTCAATAACAATTGAAAAAAATGATTTGAAAAAAACAGAAGAAGAAACACCTAATGATGAAATTTGGTTTGATGAAAAAAATCACGAATTATTAAGTTCGACAAAAAGGGACGATTTTTCTCCTTTGATTCAAAAATCAAGTTTTGTTGATTCTGAAAATAGAAAATCATCTTTAGTCAATATTTCCTTACGTGAAGAAGAGGAAAATGATAATGAAGACATGGGAGAATCTATAAGAAAATTATTTTCATTTTCCGAAGAAATAAATAATTTCGAAATTTCAGAATCAACAGAAGAACAATATAGTTCAGAAGGTGAGCAATTGGATAATTTGGTTGAAATAGTTGAAGATAAATTGGAAACTTTGGAGAAAACATCGAATTTAGAGAATTGGGAAAAGACATTTATAGTTGATAATTCAAAATACGAAGATATTTCAGAGGAGAATTTTAATACAAATGATGTTGAAAAATCGAGTCCAGTGTCGGAGAAAATAGAAACGGAAAGATATTCATTGGGAAAAAATAATGAAATACAATCATTGGATGATGATGAAGAAGATGATGATGAAGAGGAAGAAGAGGAAGATGAAAGAGAGACAAGAATTGATGATGATGATCATCAAATTTCAATGAATTATTATGAAAAGCATTCAAGTGATGATTCTTCGGAATCTAGTGAAGATGATACAAATAAAGATACTTCTGAACCTATAATTACATCACCGAGAGATAAAGATGATTCGAGATTGGAAATTGATAATTTAAATGATGATTTGTTGAGTAGTATTACGATTCATCAAAATTTGGAATCAAAAGGCGATTATCAAGTAACGCCTATTGTCACAAATGCGGAGAAAGAAATTATGGCAACGATAGACAAATTAAAAGGTAGGAATATTTTAATTTTCAAAATTTTTTTATTATTTTTCAATAATTTCAAAATTAGATTTTTATTGAGAATTAAAATCACAAAATGTGTTTTTCTACTTGAAAAATAGAGAAACACGTATTTTTTTTGAACATAAAATTCTTTTTTGTAATTTTTATATGTTCTAAGATTTTAGCAAAAAAAATTCTTTAAAACATCGAATTTCTATTTGTTCGAAATTATAAATCGCTGACTAAAAATCGACAAAAAATTCGGACAAATAAATATTCGATTAATTGGCAAATTCTATTACTTAAAAATTTAAATCACTTAAAATTCTATTACATGAGAATCTTATATAATTAATGTTCGAATATATTTATTTATTTATATTAGAATTTTTTCAAAGTAAATAATTGGTAAAGTTAAATTTTGTAAAATAAAAATTCGGTACCTATAAATTTTGTTATGTACAAAATTCGTTTATAAAAAAATTTTACTGTTAATTCAAAAAATGATAATTAGATTCAAAAAAATAATTATATCGAATTTAAAATAACAGTCCAAATAAAAATTGGAACGAATTAAGCCAAATGAAAATTGTCAATTGTTTTAATAAATTTTTGAAATTTTCATTTTCATTTAAATGTAAAGGACACTAATGTGAAATTTGTCATTTTACAGCTTCTCTTAAACAACCTGGCCTTGAAGTTGCAGAATGTGATGCAACACTCCTCAAAATAGAGCAGCTTCAAATTGAACTTGAGGTAAGTTTTGTGCTTATAAAAAATTAATTTAAATAATTATTTACCTTAAAAATAGAAAAAATAACTTTAATCATGTTAAAAGTTTTTTTGAAGAAATCAAAATTTCACCAAAACAAATTTTAGAACTGATTTTTCTTTTAACCTAAGTGAATTCTTTAATTATCATTTAAGATAAATATTTAGTTTATTTAAAAAAAAAATTCAAATCTTATTTAACGTTGAGATTTAATTTGTTTTGAATGTATACTTTGTATAAATCTTAAAAGACATTTTTAAAGTCACATTAAAACTTGAAAGAGGAAATTGTGTTTTAATTTGAAAATTTTTAAATAATTTAATTTTCGATAAACTATATTAAAATTATTAAAAATAATTGATTTATTAAATAATTTTAGATAGGAACTTGTTTATTTGAATTTTCGTTGATTTACAATTTCACATTTTTAGAATTTATTAAATTTCAGGGGATTTTAAACTAATTTTCTTTTTAAAGGATTTCTACATATTTTTTTTTACAAATTGCAAAAAATAATTGAATTTTAGAGAATTTTTAATATGAAAATTTCTTTTAAAATTATTTTAAAAAATTGATTTAACAAAAAATTTTAAATAAAAATTTATTTACTTGAATTGAATTCTATTGATTTACAATTAAGATTTTTAGAATTTATTGAATTTTAGATTATAATTTGTAATTTTTTGTAAATTTTCCTAGCTCCAGAATTTAAATTTAAATTTAAACAATTAAATTTTAAAGAATTTTGAATTTAAATAAATTTTTAACTAAAATTCTTTTCTAAATTAATTATTTTTAATAATTTTAATGAAATTTCTCACAAATTCAATTCTTTTAAACTTTTATATTCAATTCTTTCAATTAAAAATTTTCTAAAGTTCAATAAATTGTTGACAATTAAAAAAAATCAAATCTAATTACCAAAAATTTCAATTTAAAATCTTTTAAAATTTTCCATCTAAAACTTTTTGAAATTTAATAATTTCAATTCTAATTCTTCTGAAATTCAATTATTTTTTAATGATTTTTATAATATTCTTCAAAAATTCAATTAACTGAAAGCATTTTTCAATTTAAAAAAACGTTTGAAATTCAATTTTTGTAATAAATTGAATTTATGTTGGAACTCACCAAAAACATAAATCACTTTATTCTGGACAGAGGAACGAAAGAATTATTGCAAAAATTTATTATTTTTGGATGATTTACGATTTTAAAAAAAATTTTATTTAAATATTCTCAAGATTTTTATTTACTTATAACTTTTTTGGCGGTGTTCCGAAAAAATTGAGGTTTTGCACAAAGATTTTTTATAATATTCTTTACCTTCTATTAAAATCTTACGAAGGTGTTTTGCTTCGTTTTGGAGATATTAATTTTCAAAATTTTTTATTTAAAAAGGTTAATTAAAAGACTTGAAGTTAACTGACCAATTTCAAATCGCTCCATTTTTTATAAAAATATATTAAAATGTAGCGATTTGAAATTGGTCAGTTAACTTCAAGTCTTTTAATTAACCTTTTTAAATAAAAAAAATTTGAAAATTAATATCTCCAAAACGAAGCAAAACACCTTCGTAAGATTTTAATAGAATGTAAAGAATATTATAAAAAATCTTTGTGCAAAACCTCAATTTTTTCGGAGCACCGACAAAAAAGTTATAAGTAAATAAAAATCTTGAGAATATTTAAATAAAATTTTTTTTAAAATCGTAAATCATCCAAAACTAATAAATTTTTCCAATAATTCTTTCGTTCCTCTGTGCAGAATAAAGTGATTTATGTTTTTGGTGAGTTCCAACATCTAATTTTTAATAGCTTTTTAACAATAGCGTTTTTAAAAAAATTGAAAAATTTAAGAGCATTTGAACCTTCGTGACGTCACAAATCATGGCGCATGACACGCAAACTTCTCAGGTATGTGAAAAACACAATTTTGAATATTTTTTAAAAAAACCTTTTGGAAAATGTTCAGAATAACATAGACTCTGTCTGTTATGTGCGGAAAATTCAAAATTTTGCGTTTAAAACGTTTTTTAAACAATGTTAAGGTCACAAATCATGGCGCATGACACGCAAACTTCTCAGGTATGTGAAAAACACAATTTTGAATATTTTTTAAAAAAACCTTTTGGAAAATGTTCAGAGAAACATAGACTATGTCTGTTATGTGCGAAAAATTCAAAATTTTGCGTTTAAAACGTTTTTTAAACAATGCCTACATATAAGCAATTCGTGTATTTTTCCTTACTTGTGACAACCAACTTAAACATTGTTTAAAAAACGTTTTAAACGCAAAATTTTGAATTTTCCGCACATAACAGACAGAGTCTATGTTATTCTGAACATTTTCCAAAAGGTTTTTTTAAAAAATTTTCAAAATTGTGCTTTTCACATACCTGAGAAGTTTGCGTGTCATGCGCCATGATTTGTGACGTCACGAAGGTTCAAATGCTCTTAAGGTTACAAAATCACATTGTGAACCTCCTACTTTTGATTTTTAATATTTTTAAAGGGAATAAAATTTTTATCATAATATTATGGTTAATGAACTCAGGGAATCATCGAGTTTCACATATATTAAAACTAGATTTTTTTAAAATTTGGTCGCAACCACTATTAGACGAAAGTCAGTGAACTAACCCTAGTTGATTTTGAATTGAAAATTTTAAAAATAATTGAATTACACTTGAAATTTAAGAAAATAATTGAATTTTTGTTTATTTTGAATTGAATGCTTGGAAAATAATTGAATTTTAGTTGATATTGAATTGAAATTTCAATACAGATAGTTGAATTTTCCGAAGAATATATTAAAAATAATTGAATTTCAGGAGAGTTATAATTGGAATTATTGAATTTCAAAAAATTTGAGATGGGAAATTTTATAAATAATTAAATTTTAGATGCTTTTAAATTCAAATTATTGAAAATTCAATTAATTTTGAATTTAAATTTTTGAGAATAATTAAATTTTATTTGATTTTAAATTGAAAATTTTTGGGAAATAATTGAATTTTAATTGAAATTTTGGATAATAATTTAATTAAAGTTCATTTTTGATTGAAAATTTGGATAATTAATTTTGAATAGAAATTTTAGAAAATAATTTAATTTTATTTCATTTTAAATTGAAAACTTGGTAAATAATTAAATTTTAAATTGAAAATTTTTGATAATTATTGGATTTTTAATTGATTTTGAATTAAAATTTCGGGTAATAATTGAATTTTAGTTTATTTTGAATTGGAATTTTTAAAAAATAATTAAATTTTATTGTGATATATTTTTTCAAATTATAAACAATTGTTAAATTTCATAAAAATTTTAATTGAAAAATAATTTTGATATAATTGAATTTGTGATGTATTTCATTAAAATTATTAAAAATAATTAATTTAGTGAAGAATCATTTTAGTTCAAAATTTGTGAAATAATTGAATTGAAGAATATCTGAAGAAGATTTAGATTTTATACTAAAAATATGTATTTTATTTACATTTTTTTCAAATATAAAAAAAAATGTCGCATTTTATTAAAATAAGTCGATAAAAGTCGTATTTTTGAAAAAAATCGGAAAAATTCGTATAATCCAAGGCCTGTAAACATATAATTTTCATTATTATCATTTAATATGTAATAATATTCTAATAAATTAATTCTTTATGACAAACAATTAAATACTCGCAATTTGGTGCGCTTGCGCGCGTTTAATTTTGCTAGTTAATATAATGAATTTAATATCTAGTAACATTAGTTGTTTAAAGTAAAATATTTATTAATTGATTAAATTTAATTAAAATAAAATAATCGACTTTTTCGACTTTTTCGACTTTTTTTTGTGAATGTAAATCGACTAAAACAGCATTTTTTGCGCCTTAAAGTCAATCCGAGGTCTGTTTTATGTTATTAAATATTACATTTTTATTATTGCAGATAAAAAAATTAGAAGCCGAAGAGGTATCATTCTATGTTAGGGAAATACCAAACAAACCTCCACCACCGTACACGCCTCCTAGTAGTGGAAAACTTTCTTCATCAAAAAGTTCTCCATCACCACCACCGGCAGTGATTCCAACAAATGCCGATGATCTCACAGTGTTTATTGAAAGAGCAACATCAATTATATTTAAAGCCAAAGAGAATGGTGAAAATATTATGAATTTAGAAGCGCCGCCTGAAATATGGGAATTAAGAAAGGACAATGATTCATTGAAAAAAGATAGAAGAATATATAATACATTTCTTTTTGATCTTTGTAAAGAGACAATTGCCGAAGTTTATTGTGTTAATGATGATAAACCAGGTCCAAGTTGGACACGACCAAATGTCAAAACAAAAACAGCGATTAAAGTTCCAAAAAGTTTAGATGAATTAACTGATTATGTTAATAAAGAAGTTGCAACACTTTTTGGTTTTAAGACAAAATTACAACGTGAAAATATGGTGATGCGTTGGAGTCGAAAACGTAGAGATCGAGTTGATGAATTACTTGCGAGAGAAGCACAAGCTGAAGAAGAAGAATGGACAAAGTTTCATTATGATGAATTAGCTGTTAAAAATGAACTCACAGTAGCGATATTAGACAGTATCATATTAGAAACAGTGAATGTGGTAAAAACTGCTTTCACCAAAAAACGTAAACTTAAAGTATAGCGTAACAGTATTTTCAAGAAAAAAAAGAATAACATTTTTAAAAGAAAATTTTAAAAAGAAATTTTTTTTTAAAGCTCAGACAAGTGTACAAAAAAAAAATAATTACTGTTTATTCAATTTTGTTAGTTAATTTTACAATATTTATAAACTTGACTATTATTTATTATTATTAAAAAAAAAGAAGGTACTTTATTTTCTTAAAGTGAAATAATTTTAATGACAGTACTGAAACATTTCAGGGTTTTTTCCTTTATTAATTATGAATTAGTATAATTAAGGTATTAATTAATACTACTACTGTTAATTATTTAGTAATAGCTTTAGATTTCATTATTTGTTAAGTGTGAGTTTTAATTACCTTTTTTTTTGTTTTTGACTCTTACCGTAAGTACTTATGTATGCAAAAATTGTTTAATGGAGACAATTTTATTTATAAATGAGAATATTTCCGACACTGAATTTAGGGGATAAATTTTAAAAATCAATTAGAATTTTTAATAATTATTTTCAATAATAGAATTTCGTTGGATATAATTTCCTTTGAGACGAATTTTATTTCTTCGAATTAGCATTTTACGAAAATTTTCGTTGGATACAATTTCTAATGAGAAGAATATTATTTCTTCGAATTTTGTATTTAGCAGAATTTTCATTAAACCAATCAAAAATTATTCATAAAATTATGTTTGGTTAGTTTTAAAAATTGCAATTTCAAACAAATAAAAATTCTATCAATTAGAAATTTTGTAAAATAATTTTTCAGTTAAATAAAAATTCATGACTGAGTCGAATATTTAAATCTCAGAATTCTTATTTCACTGAAATTTTATTTGTACGAATTATAATTTTTATAAAAATTTCAAAAATGCCGAATTTTCATTTGGCGGTAATTGGCAAAATTTTTATTTGTACGAATTGTCATTTGACAGAAATTTTAAAAACGCTGAATTTACATTTGACCGAAATTGTAAATGACCGAACAAATATCCGACAGAATTGGCGGGAAATTTAAAATTCATCCACGCAATTTTTTAAATTATTTCTGATTGGTTAATTTTAAAATTCGCGCCAAAACTTTTTTGCAATTTCGGTCAAATGAAAATTCGGTCAACTAGAAAATCTGTTGTATAAAAATTCGATTAAATATGAATTCAGTAAAATAAAAATTAAATTCATTAGAAATTCTACTTTATAAAATTCTGTATCATAGAAATTCGAGCTTAGAAATAGAAAAACCATAGAAATTCCAATAAATTCAAAGTGGGGAATATTCATGTATCTCTATATAAATGGACCAAGATAGCGAGAACTTTTTTGCATAAAAAACAAGGATGTAATATTAAGGCGAATTTAAAGAGAAATCGAAAAGTCAAATTGAAACTTAGTTCAACTCTAAATTTTTCTATTTCAAAATTGAATGATTATAATTTAAAATTATTACAATGGAAGTGTGAAAAATTATAATTTTTGCTACTTTTCGAACCATTAAAACTTGCCTTTATATAAAGACGAAAAAAAAATCTGAAATTAAAAATACGATTATAATAAATTTAGTTTATGTTAAAAAAATTTATTTCTTATTTTTAATCTCAGAATATTTTAATATTTATTCAATGTCAATTTTAAAATAAAATATTAAAAATATAAAAATTAAAATTAAAATAAAAATTTTCATATACTTCCACAAATTTCTTAATTATTAATTGTTTTTTGTTTTTGAAATAGAAAAATATAAAGTTGGACTAAATTTGGTTTTCGATTGAATTTTTCGTTAACATAAATTATTGTCAAAAAAAAAATTTGTGCAAAAAGTTGTGCTATCTGGGCAGTAAAAACTACACTGAAACGTTGATTATATCTAAAAAGAAATTTTTACGCTTATTTTTATAATTTATGATCAATATTATTAATAATAATAATAACATTTATTAATAATAATTTTATTAATAATAATTGATTTGATTACACTTTCGATGAAATTTAATGAAAATACAAAAAAACAATCATATTCTATATTCTTTCAAAAAAAAGTCTAAATTTATGTGAAAGAATATAAAGAATAATTTGAAAACAAATTTGAAAAATAAAAAAAAATCATTTGGATATAAAAATTGTAACCAATAAATTTTTTTTTTTTTAATTACTTTATTAAAAATTTTAAGATTTGTTTATTTGGGAAAAAAAAATTTTTATTAAAAAAATCTTTAAATTTTTTGCATTTTAATATAATAACAAAAATTATAAAATGATTTTAATTTGGAAAATTAATGAATTTTCTAAATTTTATCTCAGATGATCGAAATTTAAAATGATTGTTAATTTTTATGATTTTTAAAAATCATAAAATGATTCAAAAAACACAAACTATTATTATTATGTAATAAAGGAAAAAAATCTTTCCATAAAATTCATGATAATGAATTTTCAATGAATTTTTAATCAATTTTTAATGAATTTTGACGATATCGAAAATTATAATTTTAAAATTTTAACTATAAGTAAAATTTCAATAAAAAAAATTTCTAATCAGAATTTTTTTTTTATTGTTATTAAATTACTTGGGGATATAATCAACAATTTAGTGTAAAGTTGTGCATGATCAGTGAATGCAAATTGTACATAAAAATTTATCTCTTAAAAAAGTACTTGTTTAATTGCGTAAATTATAAACATGTTAAAAAAAACAATTTTTCTCTACACCTAGAGAAATTTTTTATTTGCATTTATTTAAGGCAAACAAACAATTTATTTGAATCAAATAAAAATGTCTGTCTCAGAGCCTAATAATTTTTTGTTTTAAATAAAAAATTATATTTAGTACAAATAAAAGTTTATTTATCGTAAATAAATTTTTTATTTAAACATTTATTTGATACAAATAAATAATTGATAAAAATAAATATTTGATACGAATAAATATTAATTTGGCTCTGTGACAAATAAATATATTTTCTCTGGGTGTGCTCATTGAAAATAATGATGGAATAAAAAAAAAAAAAACTTTTGTTATATGTTTTTTAAAATAAGTTCTTCATTATTATATTATGAGACAGTTGACTGTGCATAACGATAAGGAACTTTTTAAAAAAAAGTTAAATATGTGTTGTCGTATTTAATATACATATTATTAACATTTATTTTGTTCTGAGCTTCCAGAAGCTGTGCTCAATATTGCAGTTGTTGTTATTATTATTATTATTATTATTATACATAATATAATTGTAAACAAAATTATAATACCTAAAAGACTGATATTTCGGGGCCATTTTCATCCAAATTAATAATTCTTGAGAACTTTCGAATTCTATGAATAAAAATGTAAAAATGTTGAAAATAATACAAAAAAAAAAAAAAATAATAATCGCACGCACTTTATTGCATAAATGTGCTGCAAATTTTCTGACAGTGATGATATCAACAACGAAATAGTATTTTTTAAGTAAATTAAGAATTTTTCGAGTCAAACAAAAATATATGATAATAACTGATTAAAATAATACATATTTAGAAAAAAAATTCAAGACATTATATATATATATATATATATATTATAAAATGTTGTATTGAATTATTTGACTGGTTACCAGCTTTGCATTTTTATATAAATGTAAATGTATTTCAATAACAAAAGTGGCATTATGATGACTCGATTTACATATTGTTAATTTTTTTTTTCTTTTTATTAATGTGATGTAAATAAAATAGAATTCCCGTTTAATTAATAATTACTTAATTTTCATTAAAAGTCTATTATACATATATATCGTATCTGTTATTATAATGTTTTCCTTCTTACATGATTTTTTCATTTTATTTTGTTTTCATAAAAGTGTAAAAATCCACTTCTTATTTTACTTAATTTATCAAATTATAATCAAAAATTAACTCACATAGCAAAAAAAAAAAAAATATATATTTTTACGAAAACTTTTAAATAAAACAATAAGTTGTTGTCATTTATTTTTTGAACGTAATGAAAAGTTTTTCTAAAGTTCTTAGTGAGAATTGCTTTCATTTGATATTATAAAGTTTTTAGTTGTCATTTTGAAATTATAGAAATTTGTCAAAGTTCTTTGTGCGTTGTTTTTTTTTTTTTTTTTTTTGATAATTGAAAGTTATCACTTTATTTCGGAGATGATGAAAAATTTTTCAAACTCTTCGGTGCGTATTGCCTAATATTTCTTTAGCCGAATTCTTATTTGGCATAATTCTTACTTTACCTAATTTTTATTTAACCAAATTATTATTTGGCCTATAAGAATTACATTTTTTTTCTAATTTTTACATCGTTTTTTGTTGACGATTTTTAATTAATAAAATACAAGATTTGGTTTTTTAATTATTTTTTAATTTTTTAAACAATTTTTTAACCTTATTTTCAGTTTTAACTATTTTTTGAAAAATAATATTTATTTATATACATTCCCCGCAGTCAAGAATTGAACCATAAATGGGTAACGAGAGATATACAAAAGAAAAAAAAAATAAATATTGCCGATTCTTAATATATTAACGATAGAAAAAAAGGGTGAAAGAAATTTATTTTATTAATTCTTTTGTTAATTTTTTACTACTTTTTTTAAACAATTTGAATTATTTAGATTTTATTAAATTCATTTAGAATTATTTAGGTTTCTTTCATTCTTCACTAAATAACTATTTGTAATATATTTTTAATTATTTACATAATTTTTATTTATTTAAATAATTTTTTATTTGTTCAAACAATTTATTATTCATCTAATTCTGTTTTTTAACACATTTTTTCTAATAACTTACCATTTTTTTAAACTAAAGAGAGAAAAAATTATTATTATTATGCTATTTGTTTAAACAATTTTGAAAAAAGTAAAAATTTTTTAATGAAAATTTTTCTTATAAACAATATTTAACATTTTTTTCATAAAATGCTATAAAGTTAACAGAAGATTAAAAAAAAAAGTTTAAAAAAATTAATTAAATCTGAAAATATGAAAAAAAATATTTACTTTTTTGTTAAAATAATTTTTCATGAAAATAAAAAAAAAACCCCCGATAAGATTGAAATTTATATCTACTGAATGTTATTGAACCGAATAGAATTTTATTTGATATATACATAAATTATTTAATCAATTAATTAGATTTGAATAATTTGAAATATTTAATAAATTCAGATTTGAATAAATTAAAATAATTAGTTAAATATAAAAATATGAAAAAAAATATTTTCTTTGATAAACATTTTTTTTGTATTAAGAATGATAAGATTATTAATTATTATAAATTTTATGTTACATTTAATTATTATTGTTAAATTATTTAATTTAAATTATTAACTTTATATTATTATTATTATCATTAAAATTATTAATTTAAAAAAATTGTTTAAACAAATGAAATTATTTTAAACAATTAAAAACTAATTTCAAAATGTATTTTTATAAATAATTAAATAATAATGCATCAAGTCTTGTATTTTATTAATTACTAGCAATATTAAACGCGCGAAAAACTAAGTATTTAATTGTTTGTTATAAAGAAATTAAATATTAATATTACCAATAATAATTTAATTTATTAGAATCTTAAATGATAATAATGAAAATTATATGTTTACAGGCCTCGGATTATACGACTTTTTCAAAAATACGACTTTTATCGACTTATTTTATTAAAATGCGACATTTTTTTTTATATTTGAAAAAAATGTAAATAAAATACATTTTTTTAGTATAAAATCTAAATCTTCTTCAGATCTTCTTCAATTCAATTATTTCACAAATTTTGAACTAAAATGATTCTTCACTAAATTAATTATTTTTAATAATTTTAATGAAATACATCACAAGTTCAATTACATCAAAATTATTTTTCAATTAAAATTTTTATGAAATTTAACAATTGTTTATAATTTAAAAAAAAATACCACAATAAAATTGAATTATTTTTTAAAAATTCCAATTCAAAATAAACTAAAATTCAATTATTAACTCAAATTTTAATTCACAATCAATTAAAAATCCAATAATTATCCAAAATTTTCAATTTAAAGTTTAATTATTTACCAAGTTTTCAATTTAAAATGAAATAAAATTTAATTATTTTCTAAAATTTCTATTTAAAATTAATTATCCAAATTTTCAATCAAAAATGAACTTAAATTAAATTATTATCCAAAATTTCAATTCAAAATCAACTCAAATTCAATTATTACCAAATATTTTAATTTAAAATCAATTATAATTCAATTATTTTTAAAATTTTCAATACAAAATTAAACATAAAATTTAAGGGAAGGTATCACCCCCAATTTTGACCCACTTTAATTTACATTATTAAACGAGGTTCTATTTTTTTTCTTGCATCATTTGGGTCTTAAAAACATACAGGATGGTCCAAAAAATGAAATTTTAATTTATGACCATTTTAGAAATTAAAGTCTTAAAAAAATTAATATTTTAAATATCTATCTTTTTTTACAATTTTGACTATTTTTCATCGCCAATTTTTTTCCACGCTTTTTTTAATGATTCTTAAGAATCTCTCGCATGGATTTTCAAAAATTTTAATTTTTTCAAAAAAAGAGCGAAAAATATAAGTTAAAACATCATTGCACTCTCCTATTAAATATGTATCTTCTTTCACAATTTTAAGTATTTTTCATCGTCAAATTTTTTCCACACTTTTTTAATGATTTGTCAGAATCTCTCGCATGGATTTTCAAAAATATTAATTTTTTCAAAAAATAAAAATTCTAAAATGGTCAAAAATTAAAATTTTCTTTTTTTGACCACCTTATATGTTTTTAGGACCCAAATGATGCAAGAAAAAAAATATAACCTCATTTAATAATTTAAATTTAAGTGGGTCAAAATTGGGGGTGGTGCCTCCCCTTAATTATTTTCAAAATTTTTAATTCAAAATCTTTTAAAATTCAATTATTTTCCAAATTTTCAATTTCAAATCAAATAAAATTAAATTATTTTCAAAAATTTCAATTCAAAATCAATTAAAATTCAATTATTTCACAAAATTTTAATTCAAAATCAACTAAAATTCAATTATTTTCTAAAATTGTAATTAAATTTCAATTATTTAAAAATTTTCAATTCAAAATCAACTAAAATTCAATTATTTTCTAAAATTTCAATTGAAAATTAACTAAAATTTAATTATTTTCTAAAATTTCAATTCAAATTCAATTATTTTCCAAATTTTTAATTTAAACCAAATAAAATTCAATTGTTTTTAAAAATTTCAATTCAAAATCAATTAAAATTCAATTATTTCCCAAAATTTTAATTCAAAATCAACTAAAATTCAATTATTTTCTAAAATTGTAATTAAATTTCAATTATTTAAAAATTTTCAATTCAAAATCAACTAAAATTCAATTATTTTCTAAAATTTCAATTGAAAATTAACTAAAATTTAATTATTTTCTAAAATTTCAATTCAAATTCAATTATTTTCCAAATTTTTAATTTAAACCAAATAAAATTCAATTGTTTTTAAAAATTTCAATTCAAAATCAATTAAAATTCAATTATTTCCCAAAATTTTAATTCAAAATCAACTAAAATTCAATTATTTTCTAAAATTGTAATTAAATTTCAATTATTTAAAAATTTTCAATTCAAAATCAACTAAAATTCAATTATTTTCTAAAATTTCAATTGAAAATTAACTAAAATTTAATTATTTTCTAAAATTTCAATTCAAATTCAATTATTTTCCAAATTTTTAATTTAAACCAAATAAAATTCAATTGTTTTTAAAAATTTCAATTAAAAATCAATTAAAATTCAATTATTTCCCAAAATTTTAATTCAAAATCAATTGAAATTCAATTATTATACAAAATTTCAATTGAAAATCAATTATTTTCAAAAATTTGAATTTAAAAGCATCTAAAATTTTTCATCGAAAATTTTTTTTTTGAAAATTAGTAATTTCAATTATAATTCTAAGGAAATTCAATTATTTTTAACTATTTTAATAATATTCTTTGAAATTTCAACTATCTGAAACTATTTTTCAATTAAAAATGATTTTCAAATTATTATATTTTGTCCGCATTTTCTAATAAATTTTTAGTGAAATCATCTAAAATTTTAATTACAAAACACTTAAAGTTTCAATTAATTTCAAAAATCTCAATTTTAAATCTTTGAAAATTCAATTAAATTTAAAAAATGTTTTCCAAAAATTGTTTGATAAATTATTTTTAGTTCTGTAAAATTTAATAATTGTTTGAAAATTAACAATATCTTTTGAAATTTAATTATTTCTAAAAATTTTAACTTTAACCCTTTGAAAAGGATTATTATTTTAAAAAAATTTTTTAAAAATCTGTAAAATATTTTTGTTAAAATAAAAAACAAATCCACTTTTTTTTAATATAAATCGACTAAAACGACTTTTTGTGTCTTTAAGTTGATTCGAGGCCTGTGTTTTTATAATTAATATTTAATAGGTATTCGTTGGCCCCTGTTACCTTAAAAATTAATTTTTAAAAATAAATTTTTTTCAATTTACTTTTGATTGTTGCGAATTTATAGTATTTGGAGTTTTGTTTTTAGGCACTTTCAGAGGGGATTAATTTAAAGAAAAGCAAATCAAAAAGTTTCTTTAATTTTTAAACATTTTTCGAGTCCTCATAGCTTTTTTTTCCCATTAAAATTGAAGATATTTTTCTTCTTTTTGCAATTTTGGAA